CGCGCTGAAAGCCACGTGTTTGTCCCGCGCTGTTTCCCGCAGAGTGCACAAAGCGCGCTGTTGTCAGCTCCATCTCCCCGGAACAAAGCGGCCCGATCCCACCCCCCCCACACACACTGGCTGCCCCCCAGCCTCTTCCCACCAAAGCAAAGCCCACCCCCTAGCCTCTCACAAACCCCCTCCGAACACACGCGTAAGAAAGCGCAGGGCCACCCCGGAGTGAGTGTATGTTTGTTGTGGTCAGTGGGAGGCAGGGAAAGTGAAAGTCTCAGGAAAGGGAGCTGCGTGCGTGCGTGTGTAGCGTTTCGCAGCGGTAACCCTCGCCCTGCACCCCTGCCCCCCATCCCCCCTCTCGCTGTCCCACCCCCCTCTCCCCTGCCCCTGGCCTCCCTGACGAGGAGCGGCCCCGAGAGGGGATGTGTGCTCTGTCCTCTCTAACAGATGCTCCCATCTTCACCGTAACGAGAAGATACAAAGTGGGGAAGAGGCGGGGGGGATTTCACCCGTCAACTCAGGACATGGTCTGCACGTGTAATAGCACGGGCCTGAAGAGCCCCCCCAGCTCAGCAACTCACCCCATGGCAACCCACCATACAGCAACCCATGGCACTAAAACCCACCGTATGGCAACAAACAGCAAATCACCGGATAGCGACCCACAGCAACCCATAGCACTAAAACCAATGGCACAGCAACCCACAGCAAGGCATCAGCATCTCACAGATGCTCAGAACAAGGGAACAGATGTAGCCACAGCAACTACAGCTGTGGAGAAGTCGCCCTTTGGCCAATGCAAGGTGAATTTGGCGCCGGCAGGACAAGGCATACTCTTCTTAGAATAACGCGACGGTATCTTTGGCGTCTACTGCGAGTGACGCAGACGTCTCTTAGTGGTTTAAATTTAATTATACGCCGCAGTATTAACCAGTGCGGCCTGCCAGATCGAACAGAAAATCTCTGCAACAAGCGGTGAACAGGCATCCCGCTGGGGGATGCCACCGCTCCAACAGAGTACATTCAGCAGCAATTCTTCCTCTGAATGTTAAAGAGCTTCGTGGTTGGAATTCCGCAGGCCGCCCACGTTAATACTGCGGGTGTATGAACCATAAAGCATGTGCAGCGATTGTGCCACCCACAATGATAAAGCGCACGGCTCAAGGAGGTTCCCCATGGAATTCATCATCATCGTCTCGTGTCAATCACACCGACGCGGTGAGACCGATCTCAACGATCTGTGGGCGGTAGGGGCAGCACCAGCAGCGCTCATAGCTCCCGTGACAAAGCGACGGCGGCGCAGCGGAGGAGGCGTCGTGCGCTGCGCGTCGCGGACCCGGCGATCACCGCGGGGCCGCCCGCCGCCGCCGCTGCTCGTCGCGGCGCCACCAACATCCTCGGCAAGGCACCCGCGGAAACGATTTCCACGTAAGATGGCTGAGCACTTTCACACTCCCAGCCCCCCGCTCCCCAGCCCCACTTTTCCCCCGCGTCGTGAGCTGTGTTTGAGAGGCTCTGTACTCGGACATTATGCAGGATTAAGTGGCCTTTGATTGGACGCCATTTCGGGTCCTTTCTCCTCGCTCTCCACCACTCTCCTTATGCGCCCCCCCCCCCCCCCCCCCGTGACCTCTCGGCTCCGCGTGTGAATATTCACTCTGCCCTCCCCTCGTGCCTTTACGCCTCCGCACAAAGGCCAGGCCGCAGCTGTTTAAGGCTAATTGTCTTGTCTTGATTGTGGTGACAAAGTAGATTAGCCACCTGATGGTGGCGGGGGGGGGGCATCCCCACGGTGGGAGCCCCCTCCTCCTTTAGCAGCCATTCCTCCTCACTTACCAAGGCCTTCTCACCACGATCTGACCGTGGCCTCCTTACTCAGTCACCACAGCTTCCTCACTCACTCACCATGGCTTCCTCACCACCACGATGATCTCACTCACTATGCGCTCAATCGTAATGACCTTGCTCGCCAGTTGATCTCCGCTATAATGAGAGATGTTATTATAACAGCGATCATTGCGCCTGGATAAAGGTTTCAATCGGTGCAAACCGCCAGCTACGACGTGCGGATTAGAAACGCGGGGACCCTGGCATGAGCAAAACCTGAAAAGTACACAAAGTATCAAACAAAACACTCATCAATGCCCCTCATCTCATATTGACACCACTCACCGTGTTCCGCTCTCTCACCATAATCTCACGCACCATGTCCACTCACCATGCCCTCTCACTCACCCTGCCCGTCTACTTGTCCGCACTCACCGTGCCCACTCGCTCACCACTCACCATGGCCGTTCACTCACCATGCCCTCTAACTCACCGTGCCCCTCACTTTGTCTGCACACACACCATGCCCCCTCACTCACCATGATCTTAATCACTATGCCCCCTCACGCTGGACCTAATGACTGCTAGAGACTGAGATGAACTCGCAAATTCACTGAGGCTCACGGCAAAGCCCACGGGTTAAGATTAGGGGCAAATACTATGACTTCACCGTGGTCAGAGGGAGTCATGCCGCAACCACCACCACCTCGCTCCCAGCGCGCTCGTCCCACCAACAGATCCCACTGCTGCTGATGATGATGTACACGAGACATGCGGCGACCTTCAAGATCTGCTCTGACAACCTCATCTCACCATCTGCTCTTACACTCACACAGAGACCCACAGACTTACACAGAGACGCGTAGACTCACACAGAGACCCATAGACTCACACAGAGGCCCACAGATCTGCTCAAGCAAGAGTCGTCCCCAGGGTACGGCGAAGCGGGCCGCTTTGGAGGGCCCCGCGCTTCAACGTCACGGTGGCAGAGGTAATGCTTCTGGTTTAGTTTGAAGGCTTCGGGTGGCCCACGGTAGGATTTGCCCCGGGCCCTGACCAGCACCGTCTGCTTTTAGGTCTTCTCTTCCCCTAGGTCGCCGGAATTGTGGAGGTCACTCAATTGGCTGTCTGGGGCCTAACCCAACCCCTGGGATCACCCCTGATCCAGGCCTGGGCCGAGAGGGGAGGCATCCAGGGGAGCCACAGCGCAGTGTCTGCAGCACCTGCAGCTTGGGACCGGAGCACGAGAAACCGACATGAGACAAGCTCCAGAGACACGACGGCGAGACAAGACCAGGACGGCAGGGAGACAAGGAGACCAGGCAGACAAGTGGAGACACGGTTCGACCTCGAGACTGGGTCGCCGTGGTCGACCCTCGCGTCTTTCTCGAGTTGGACTCCAGAACTTGGCTCCTTGGCTCTCTCCTCGGAAGCTCCATGGAGACAAGAGGCGGAGTCGTGAGGCGATAGCGACCTCTAGTGGCCACGGATACGCGGGAGAGGACATAGGGACTCGGGAGACGTACAGGGGGAGATAGACACGGGAAGATAGAAACAGAGAGAGTAGAGACACGACGAGACACGGGGGAGACAGTACGCATGCGATGTGAAGATGGTGAAGGCTTGATGGTGTTCGTGCTGTGTGCATGAGGGGTGATGGACATTGCGGATTTGTGGTGGGTGTGCAAATGTGGGAGACGTGGAGGTGATGGCGTGTGATGGCTACGGGGTGTAGATGTGTGTGTGTGATGGAGCGGCGTGGGGAGCGGTTGTGAGGTGATGAGTGCGCTACGAACCCGAGTATTTGAACCGGTCCTCGGTCTCCCCTCGGGCGACTCGGGTTTAAATGGTGCTGCGTGTGTAAACATCAGCACTGGGGAGACAAAGTAGGCCAAATGTGATAGTACTTGTCCCAAGAGTTTGTTAAAGGCTATACGTGTGTATGTGTGCGATGGTGTGTAGGTGTGATGGAGCTGGATATGTGATGGAGACGGTGTGGGTTCGTGGGGTGTGATGGCGCGGTGTAGAGGTGTATGATGGCGTAGAGTAGGTGTGTGTGTCTGATGACGGGTGTAGGTTTGTGATGTCGCTGTATAGAAGAGTGATGTAACGGCCTGCCAGTGGTGTGGGTTCGTGGAGTGATCCACTGCCCACCACGCCCGTGTCTGAGACGAGTCTCGATCTCGCGTCCCCGCGTCCCGTGACACCAATGAGGCCATCAACACGGACGTGAGTGAACACGCTGCTCGTGAACACACGGGGAGACATTAGGATGCAAATGCGCGGCGCGGACTCACGCGGTCCTAATCCTGCGCCGCGCCGAGACGCGACTGTAAATGACTCTCTAAGCGACTGCAAATGACTCTCTAAACGGGGATTACGGCAGCCGCGCGGTTCCGCGCTCCCTTCGCGTCATCCCCAATCCCCCTTCATCCCCGAGATCTCCCTCATCCCGCCCCCCATATCCCACGGCGGAGCGGCCCCTAAATCCCCGCGCGGCGCAGGTGAGCGAGCGAGGAGAGGAGCGGTCTCCCGCCTCCTGTGTCCACCCTGGACTCGGTGAGCTCCTGCACTCTCCTCTCTGCATCCTGTGTCTCTACCCTGGACACAAAGGCTACTGGTTATAATCTCCTGCCTCCTGCTGCTGTCTCCACCAGTTTACGGTTTGTACAGGATGGTTCCCATCTTTTCGTGTCTCTATCCCGTTTCCACCCTGGACGATCAGAACAGGTGAGAGGTCTGGACACCTCGAGTCTTGCGTTCCATGCAGACCCGAATAAAGCAACTGCATTCACCAAACGACGCTCGATAATTGCATGCATGTACGGTACATCATCTTTGTCAATCTACTGCTGGATGTCACGCTCTCCATGCTGTGTCAGACACGGGGAATGTTTGACCATTCACCACACTGGACAGTGCGGGTTGGAGGGAGGATCTGGGACAGGTTCAGATATCATTCACCACTTATATTCTCGGCCGTAGCTAACCTTACTCGGGTCACCCGGGTTCATATCCTATTGTGCTAACCAGTGCACCACCCGTGCCCGCCCCCACGCAACCCACATACTGAGGAGAACCACAATTAGCACTCGACGCGACCTCCATCGCGAACAGAACGTCTGCACATTGAAGGTAACTCCACATTCAGGACCAGATGCACGCGCCAAACTACCCGTCAAGCAAGACTCCAACAACGAACCTCGCTGCATACTCAAGCCCCGAGTGGACCCCTTCTGGGGCTGCGCTGCTCTGACTGTCCTAGAATCTCACCCAGATCCGGAATAACGCTGGTAGGAGCGATAGAAGAGTGATAAGGAGGCGACTGAGCGCCGGTGAGTGAGCGAGTGACTGGGGTGAATCAGTGATTACCGGAGAGAGGAGCCAGACTCTGGTTATGGCTACCCTGCCACGCGTGTTTATTCAGCTCAATTGCCCTGAGCCGGGACCTAAAGTGATCCTCACGTGCGCGACCCCGCGTGTTAACCCCGACCCGGGGGGTGAACTCCGACAGGACCCCCTGACCTTGTAAGCGAGCACAGCATCGCAGCAAAACAAATAATATCAGCCTCGTTCAGCCAAGCAACGGGGACAATTTCACTCCTGAAATTCGCGTCATCAAACCACGAGTGTGCACACGAATCAACCCACACGCAACGAAGTGGTCGTGCATTCACCACGTCCACGTGCAACAGTCATGCAGCACAGCGGGCCTTGGTTGTGGCCCGCACATCCTACCAGCCCACCTCCTACATTGTTCCACCCCGTCACGCACACTACACATTCACACGAAGATCCCCCGTATAGGTTTGAGCAGACTGACACGAGGGGATGGGTGGTCAGCATCACGCCCAGCCGCCTTTGTCTCTCCAATAGCAATGTATGCACATTGCACCAGGTACTCATTTAAGTCGATCTAGGGTAATGCCCAGAACTGGTTCAGATAATGGTTACTGGTGTTGGCCGTGAGCGAGAATAGAACTCGGGTCGCAGGGCACTCCCCACACCACATCGCACCCTCTCGTTATCCCACCCCCCCCCATCACGCCGCGAATGACGGCACGGGGATCTGCGTGTGCAGCTGGAGGCTGCCGGGCCCCTCGAGGATGAACGCGGGGCGCGCGGAGCCCGGGCCCTGCGGCACGGGACCCCCCGCCAGCAGCTGCTCCCGCTCTACGTTGTAGAAGCTCAGGAGACTCCGCAGGGGGCGGTAGAGGATGCCCAGGCGAGTGGGGAGCAGCGACACGAGCAGCTCCTTCACACGGCCTCCCTCTTCCAGCAATTCCAGCCTGTCTCGGGAGGGGGCAGTACACAGGACAACGCACACGCAGTGCTGGATGAAACGAGTGCAGGGCGTGTAGCATGTTATAAAGGGTCCCTAAATTGAAAAAAAACCCCATCAATATTAAAACACATACATGTTTAACTTGCATAGTAAAGTAATTGATTTTTTTCATTTGCTATACGGCCAGAAAATACGACAAATCGCTAACCTTAAACAGTCGTTCGTTAAAGTTGAAGGCGGTATAGTACGATAGTAATAGAGCAAGTGCAGAATCACTGAACCGGAATTGATAGCTTGAAAGCATTTAGTGTGGGACCCTTGAAAGTGCGGGGTCCGTAGCATATGCTACTTTTTCTACTAGGCTAATCCAGCACAGCGTACACGCACAGTACACAGAATTCAAACAGTACACTTAGCTGAGTAGCCTACACGCGGTCCATCCAGAATACCCGGCACACGTGAGCACGCGCAGGACACACGCAGTACCTTCTGGGCTCCCCCGCGTAGCGCAGGAGGCATGAGCCCCCTTCCTTCTCAAGCCCCACGCAAAACCCAGAGGCCGCATCCACAGACACCTCCCAGTAGAGGGGGGCGCGAGAGGTGGGGGGCGAGGGGGACGCACCCAGCACCGACAGCCAGCAGCTGCGCGCACCGACACAGAGGGACGCACGGCATTGATGACAATGATGGTGATCATTATTCAAGACCCAATCATCGCACCACCTCTTGGCTTTCACATTCCTCTTCTAAGACACCGATGGGACCATCAATCGCATCAAAACACCAACAGGCCGATGTGCATTTCTCCTTCATGGATGAAAAATCAAAGACAGCCACAATGGTGCGATTGTGGCCGTGCAACCCAAATAATAGACCACAGAGTAAACCCACTGTGGTCTGCACTCCTTCAACGAAGGAGGAAAAGCAAAACGACACGAACTCGATCTGCAGAAGCCTTCTCATTGTGGCCAGCAGACCTCGACATTAGTATCGAGCTCCTGAACCATATTTCCATACGCAAGAATAGAATTACAATGATGATGACGATGGTGATGATAGTGGTGGTAATTTTGATGAGCTGACGGTAATTAGGATGATGATGGCAGGGATGGTGCCGGTGAGAGTAGTCCCACGCGCACCCATCAAACAGCTCTGAGTCTCCATCGCCCTCTTGGGCCCCCGCGTCCCCCAGGTCCTCGGGCTCCCCCGCGGGGCACGTGACGCGGGTCCCGTCCTCAGACACCTGAAGCCTCGGGTGCGCGGTCTCGGGGTCAAGGGTGAAGTGCGCACCTGGGGTGGGAGGGGGTAAGTGGAGGGATGGGGGAAAGGGGAAGAATATTGAGATGTAGGCAGTGACGGGGCTCTCACACGCGGTCCCTCTGTCAGCATATTACAAGATTTTCGCGTTATCACGTCCTCAATTATTTAAGGCCCTGTCAGTGTGGTGCACGGTGAGGAGGCCGGGTGAGGAGGCCGTGTGACGAGGTGTGTGTGACCATGACGAGGTGTGACGACGAGGTGAGCCGTCACCTCGCGTCTCTATGATGAGCGCGCGGCTGGTGTCACTGGGCCCCGCGGCGTTGAGCGCACGCACGAGGAAGCGGTAGCGCTGGGCGGGACGCAGCGAGACGAGCCGCGTGCATCCCTGGATGCCCGAGATGGTCCTGCAGAGGGGGGCGGCATGGGGTGGACACGGGGTGGACACGGGGTGAGGGACCCGCATCCTACCGCTAACCTTAGCGCTACAGGCCCTCCCCCATCACCCGCGCCATCTCCCCCACCCCCCCCCCATTCACCTGAGGCCGCTGCTCTCTTCGCCATCGCCGCACTCGGGGTCTGCGTGGAGCCGCGTGAACTCGAGCGAGAACGAGGAGACGGATCCCACGCCACGAGACTTCCAGTGGAGCACGGCGCCATCCAGGCTCCACGCACAGTCCCGCTCCACAAACTCCGGGGCCTCGGGGACTGGAGCCACGGGCGGGACGCGCGCCAAGACGGGGCGACAGCGGGAGGCACGGGGAGCCGTGGGAGGCTCCTTCACTGCACCGCACTACCGCCCAACCCGCGTGTGTGTGTGTGTCTGTTGGCACGCCTGTGTTGAGTCGCGTGGGAGTCGCACCTGTGTGGTAGACGTGCGCCTCGCTGGCGGTACTGGCCCCGTGCGGCCCGTGGGCCACCACGTGGACCACGTGCGCCGAGTTGGGCTCGAGTCCCGTCACGACGCAGCTGCAGCACGCGCCGCGCACCCCCACACTCAGCTCTGCGCTCGCATGCCACGGGGTGGGGGGTCAGACGGGTGCGCAATGCACCTCACTCTGGCTCGCATGCCACGGGGTGGGGAGTCAGACGGGTGCGCAATGCACCTCACCCTGGGCTGAATGTCTCAGGATCACTCCGCGTAACCCGGTGAGAACTCGAGAGATCAGGATAGAGGAGTCTCATTTGTCGGAGTGACCAGGGGCACCAACATGAGTTCAGCCTTGAAGCAAAGAGAAAAAAGTCGTGCGACCCCCCTCGAGCACCCCCGTTACCTGTGGAGTCCGGCCCCGCCCCCCGCCAGATGAGTGTGAAGTGGGTGATGACGTCACGCGCCCCCACTCCCCACCGCACCGTGAAGCTGCGACTCGTGGCCCCGCCCTCCTCCTGGGGGCCCAGGCGGGGAGCGGAGGGGGCTGCAGGGTGGGGGGGGGGGGCTCATTTAACGGAGGAATTTGAAATTCATCAAAATCCGGTGGATGGAGAGGTGTGATGAGCTGATGAGGCGTGTCGTGAGGCTTATCGAGGTGTGTGGTGATGAGTTGTGTAACGATGAGGTTTGCCGAAGTGTGTGTGTCGCAGAATGTGATTATGGCGCGTGAGCAAGTGTGTGGTGATGAGGGGAGTGGTGTGAGTGAGGAGATGTATGTATAATGACGAGGTGCGTGTGTGTGTGTCATGAGTTGTGTGATGATGAAGTTTGAGGAGGCATGTGTAGACGAGGTGCGTTGGCTGAGGTGTAAGATGATGTGACTAGGAGGTGTGCAAGAGGGTGTGGAGGTATAATGAGGTGTGTGATGATGCGCGAGACGTGAGGAGTTGGAGGAGGCGCCGACCCGCCGTGCAGGTGAGAGCCCGCAGCGCGCGCCTCTCGCGGGAGAACTCGAGACGGAACTCGAGGAGATCGGCCGAGGTGCGGGGCTGCGGGCTCACGCCCAGGAACGAGCCCACCGCCTCCACGATCCTGCGCCGAGGACAGGACGGCCGACCAAGCCACGAGGGGAGAGTTGGAGACGATGAGAGGAGAGACGTGGGAGGTGATGAGGAGAGCGTGGGAGATAAGGGGCTGGGAATACGGAGGCTTTAGGCGTTTAGTTGTCCTCCCGCACCTCCGATTAGCTCGGTTGGCTACGTACGGTGCTAAAGAAGTTCAACATACATACAGGAAATGCATGCATACAACATACAGATGCAAACTAGATTCGAAGCTTTCGTGACGACAGGGATTACTCTTTGGTTCCTTCGGTAAAGTCACGTAGAAATAAATTTAATAAAATAATAATAGAATACGACGTTTCGATTGCAACACAAGCCACTATCATCAGGTGCAAATGAATGAGAAAAGAAACCTAGTAAACTTGGAAATATAATGCAATACAACACAGAGAGTCGGCCAACACAACAGTCAACACCCCACCTGGTTGATTACGTTCTTCCAAAGATTGCTAAATTTGAGAGAGAGAGAGAGACAGACACACAAGCAGAGAGAGACTCACATAGAGACAAACAGAGAGAGGGACACACATAGGCACACAGAAAGACAACGTCTCTGTGTCGAAGGCTTAAATAGAGAGGGGGGGGGGGGCAGAGGGGGAGTTGTGTGGAATTCCTGCCCATAGCGGCCGGAGGAGAGAATGGACTTATAAAAGGCACGGAACAAGCACGGTAGAAAGAAAATTTAGTAAAATTAGGAAGTGTAATGCAATGAAACACAGAGAGATGCATACAGATGTATTATGTTGGATTTTTATTTTTATGTTGGATTTTGAAATTATGTTGGATTTCTTTCGCACCGCACCTAGCCAAGTATAAAGATGCATAAGTACAACATACAGGAGATACATACGTACACGAGATGCGAGAATGAGATAGTGGGGGAAGACAAGGGGGGACAGACCTCACCTGTCATTTATCGCTTCCGCCGACTGAAAAACATAACAAGACATCCATCAATATTGTCATTTGACATCGTGAACAAAAGCAACATCTCATTTATCAAGGGGTGTGGCGTGAAGGATGCTCCTTGGCGAGCAGCTTCAATCGCGGGCCACTCGCGCCCCCTGGCGGGCGAGGCGATGGCACTCACGGCCCAGTGTCCAACGCCGGTAGCGCAGGCTCCGATATCATAAAACCCCCCGCGTTTACCGCGACACGAGTGACCCAGTGACCCCACACGTCGCTCCAGCGACCACGAATCCCGGCCTCCCCAATCCGCCCTGCTCATCCCATCGGTCCAGAAAAGCCCCCCCACAACTGTTCCCCAGGGTCCCCCTGCACCCCGGGGATCCTCACGTGCAGGAAGGGGATCCGGTCGCGGAGCCGCGCCGCGCGCCTCGCGGCCGCCGCGAGCTCCCGCGAGGCGCCGAGACCGCGGCCGCACTGCAGCAGCTGCACGTAGAGGCGCTCCGTCTTGAGGCGCCGCTCCTCCTCCAAAAGCCGCGCCAGCCCCGAGTAGCGATCCAGCAGAGACTCCATGAGTCCGGCGAGTCGCGAGTCGGCGCCCGCCTGCAGCCCCGAGTACGAATCCTAGGGGATACGGGGCACGAGATGATGGCCCATGGGATGAGCTATGGGGGGCAAGAGATGGGCCATGGCATTGGGATGCGCACCACGCGATGTGACGCAGTCGGGGCATGCGTTGGGGCCAGTGTTTAATCTCAGGCGAAGCAGCCGGCATTTATCTCGGCCCGCCGCATCCATATCGCCTTAATTTGCCGTCAACCTGTTCAAATGGTTATAGGAACAGTGTATTCTGTAATAATACCGTAAGATATGAGTATAGTAGTAGTAGTGCCTTACGCTGCTTTTTTTGTTTAGTTGGCTTTCACCCGCACCTCCGATGAACACGGCTGGCCACGTGCGAAAGAAGTTCAACATCCCTACTGCGAACCAACCCAATCGCTTTCCTGTTGTGGCCATAGCCATGACTAACGACCCTAACAGCAGAGCCTCGAGGCGCGCCCCTCAGACACCTCGTCGCCCCCAGCCCACGCAGGTCACCTCCACGCGGATGAAGATGTCCTCCAGCTCCGCCACGAAACTCTCCACCCGCACCGCCCTCGTCGCCAGCTGCTCCACGCGCTGCTCCAGCTCGGCCTGGGAGAGCAGAGGCGGGGTCAGCCCAGGGTTGCTGATCCTGGGATCACACTTTGCTCCTTAGATATGGTTTCTGGGACTCTGTTTTCTCATACCCCCGTATTTGCCCATATTTGCATGTCTCCCTGTATCCCCATATCTCCCTTTATCCTCATGTCCCTGTATCTCCGTGTCTCCCTTCTTCCCCGTGACCCTTGTGTCTCCGTGTCTCCCTTCTTCCCCGTGACCCTTGTGTCCCTGTGTCTCCGTGTCTCCCTTCTTCCCCGTGACCCTTGTGTCTCCGTGTCTCCCTTTTCCCCGTGACCCATGTGTCCCTGTATCTCCGTGTCTCCCTTCTTCCCCGTGACCCCTGTGTCCCTGTATTTGTGTCTCCCTTCTTCCCCGTGACCCCTGTGTCCCTGTATTTGTTTCTCCCCGCGCTACCTTCATGTCGTGCACCTCCTCCTGGTCTAGGTCCTCGTGGTCGCCGTGACCCCGCGCCTCGGGTCCGCTCAGTGGCTCCACGCGGTCGAGGCCGCGCTCCGGCCCCCCTAGGCCCCCTCCGCGTGCCACCTGCTCCCTCCCCGCGACACAGGGGTCATCCAGAGACCCTTTGTAGGGGCTCAACCACGGCCCAGCCATCACCTGCACACTCACCTCATCACCATCCTTACGAAATCATACTTCAATTACACCTCACCTCGAGTATCATCCCTCATTGTTACCACTCACCTCATCTCCCCTCACCTCGTTACTCAAATTCTCACTTTACCTCATCTCCTCCCCTGCTTACGTTACCAAATTTACCTCGTTACTCACCTCCTCAGCCTGTTGCCTCTCGCCATCTTCATTCCCTCCACCCCCTATCATCCGCCTCACTCACCTCATCACCCTCGCCTTTCTCACGAACCTCACCCCCACGCTCAATCCTCACCCCTGCACTCCCTTCCCTCATCACCCACCTCATCACCCACCTCATCTCGCTTTCCACTCTCCGAGGGGGACAAACCCGGGGGGGTGCGGGGGCCTCCTGGACCCCCGCGATCCGCAGGGCCGTCCGTCCCGGGCACGTCAGAGGAGCTGTAGACAGCGGTGAGCTCCGCCTCGTCAGAGGCTACCTCGTCTCCCACCAGGGTCCCCGACGAGTCTCCCGCATCATCTCCCCGTGGCCTTGACCGCTCGCTCGCAGTGACCTCCTCGCCCGAGCTGGGGTCACTCCAGCCGTGGATGCCCGAGGAGTCGAGGGGGTACCCCCCCTCCTCTTCCATTCTGGCGAGTGTGGTCACTACTGGGGCCGTTCGTCCCGTGTCTCCGATGTGAGGGGGAAGCTGTCAGGACGACGCGCGGCGGCCTCTTCTCCCTCTCCCCCCTCTGCCCCACGTCTCGCTCCTTCTTTAGCTCTTGCCGCTCCGCCCAGGCTCCCTCTCCCCGAGCCGCATTCCCAACCCTCGCGGCCGCTATTAATAGAGGTGGGGGGGAGGGAGCCAGGAGAGAGCGGGAGTCATGGGGGGAGCAAGGAGTAATCAGGAGGGAGGAGCACTGGGAGCAGGAGAGAGCAGGCGGGAGCAGGAAGGAGGAACCATGGAGTTGGAGCACTAATGCGTGATTTTATTATCAAACCGTGACTCAATTTTTTTTTCCAATGGGAGAGCGACTCGGCGATACTGGTTTAAGGTTCGCGTGGTTCGTCTCTCGCCTGTACCCAGCAGCGTGTTCACGACGAGGTGCGGCTGTTCAAGGCCACTGGACGGCAGCTGTCGTCGTATTTCAGCCACCAGCGTGACGCGGCCCTGTAGCCGCGCGTTTGCCGCTCCTTGCAGAGATCGCGGTTCAAAACCAGGGTTTCGCCCTGGTTATTACTGCGGGTGCGCTGTCTGTTTTACAGCGGACGTTATTAGAGTAGGGAATCGTGCCGGCATCATGGCCAATTTGAAAATTCTCTCGCCAATTATTGATTTGGCAAACGCGTCGACTCTTTCCAATGAAGACGGCTTCCAGACATGTGCTGCCTTTAAATCATGAGGCCTCCTTTGCCAATAGAAAAATGTTTTTCCCCCTTTTTTCTGGCAACAAAACTGAAACCTGCACCTTTTGGCGTCATCTGGTCGAACACCATATGCTCTAAGGAAAGCTGTCTTTGGTGTGGACCAATCAATTTCAAGGACAGTGCATAGATTGTATTTTTTTTGCATTCTGACTGCAGGTATTGTGGTTCATGTAAACATGATTCCTCGTAAAAAGGTTTCAGTTTTGCTGCCAGAAAAAAAGGGAAAAAAACTATTATTATGTGCTGCTTTTAGGATGCATTTCCTGGGTTGTGCACGCAAGCAGCAACGCAGGCCACTGGGGGCATAACCGTGTGACCTGGTGGAACCGCTCGTCCAGCTCTTGTTGGTGAGATCCGGGAATGTCCCCAGCGGTTTCCTGCAAAAGAGTCAGGTGCCGGGACAAGACACTGGAAGCAAATCGCGGCTTCCCATCCGTTGGGCAGGTGCTGCTTGGGAGCCGATGAAGTGGCTTATCGAAGACGGCGGTTCCCACCAACTGTTGCAGACACTATTATTTTTGGAACAGAACACCATTGTAACTGCACGGTGGTTAGTGAATAAACACCGTGAGAGGTGACTGTGGTGTCTGCCCACAATGTTGAGAACAGCCGTTGTAAGAGCCATAACCTGCAGCACCACACACCAGACTTTCATACCTCCTCCGTTAAATTTATCGTAGCATTCTCATCAGCACCACCACCGTTATGACGACCATCATCTTCCACACGAGACTCGAGGCCACCGTGTCGCGACCGGCGTGGTTGTGCGTTACTACGCTTGGCGACACGACGGCAGGAACAGATCTCACTCATGTCCGGAAGGCAACAGATTCTGACAAATCATTTATTCCATGTCTGTGGCTGTACAGTGTAGTAAGTAATACGGGCTATGAGAGTGTAGTTATATAAAGGGGAAGGCGGCCTTCGTGGCCCCAAACACAGCTTACAAAACCACGAGCAGAGCTTCGGCATGCAAGAGATCGACAATCGGCGAGTCACAGGACGTAGAAAAATTACACGTGTCACGAAACATCAACTCAATAAAAACAAAAAATTAAAAGAGAAACGGGAGTTATGCAGCGAGCACTGGCGTTCGTCTGGCGCATCCCCCTCCCCAGCCCGCTACCACCTTGCCCGCGCCGCCGCTGCACACGAGATGTTCGGGTAAGGCCCCCCCACGTGAGGGGCGCTCGAGGTGGCATGCACGGTATCCAAGTGGCGGGCCGGAGACGCGTGCACGGGACACGCGGACAACACGACGGCCGGGCGAGAGGCACACGGCCCACCGGGAACACGGCTTGGTCTCACGTGGAAGCTTGGCACTTCATCTGAGTTCAAGTATGCGTACACTACTAATGTGAAGATATGCGCAGAGCTCAATTCACCAAACTCAAACGTAGGTTTGGCGAATAATTATGTAGTGTCTCTCACCGAGCAGCAGCAGCAGGGACGGTATCAACCGCCTTGGCCCACCTATCAGCAACTCACCCCTTCTCCCTCGTCCACCAATCACAACAGACCCACGGGCCGGGGATGCACACGCCATTCGAGGCGTTGTGGCAACTGGGCTGTAGTTAGAAGCCTCCAGTCCCTGGCGTTCCCTGGACCCCCCGGTCTAAGCGCCCCTTAGTCTCCTGCAGTCTCGGGGAGGCCCCTCAAGTCAAGGCAAGTTTGTTTGTGTAACCGGATGAGAACTCAAGAGACCAGGATGAGTCTTATTTACAAGAGTAAGCTGGGTAATTTGCGCAACAAAACATTTCTGAGAATAAAATTTGTTTGGCTATCAGGTGAAGGGTCTCAACGACACAAACCTTGTCAGAATTACATCTCGCGCCAAAATCTATTGCGAATCTAAATATTGGCTGCGAAAAACTTATTCTTAAATTAACTTTTGATTTTCAGGGGGGCGATTACTCGGCAACACCTACATCCTGCCTCCCGAAGGCGGGAACCCCCCCCCCCCCACCACGTAGCGGCCCCTAGGGATGGTTTGACAATCGGCCTCTGGTCCTGGAGCCGAGTGCCTTCAGGTGCAGAGTTTCCGATTACATGTCTGTGTCGTCTCCCCACCGCGCACGGCCTTGCGCATTCTGACAGCAAGAGACCGTCCACGCTGGTTTCTGCCGAGTGAACTCGCCTTGAGGAGACGCGTCGCGAGCTGTGCGACGCGAGTCGCTCAGAGCCGGTCAACCGAGCGATTGGGTGGCTCCAATTAGACTTCCCGAGTACCCAGCCGGGCACCGCAACGCACCAGCAGCCTCTGTAGTCACCGCAACCACCCTAAGTGGGTTTTCTTTCACAATGCCATTCTGGCCAGCTGCCACCCTCACCACTACCACACTCAACTGGGGACCAGGGCTGTTCCTCCTCCAAAGCTAAGCCTGTAGTGTAAGAACACGTCGATTTTAAAATAAGCAAAAGTGAAACCACTGGTGTCTGCCCAACTGTAACGCACGTTTCGGAGTAAGGAATGCATTCCGCAACGACAGCTGCGGCACGGCGCGGGGGACTGCGGCTGGCGAGCGGAGCCGCCCTCCACATCGGCTCCGACGCCGCGGACACCCCAAGTCTAAAAAGTCGCCAACATAAAAGCTATTCATATCAGTTTTTTTTCTGAAACAATACAATATTACCATAACAGATACAGATTAACAATACAACACATTCAAAATTGGCAATTTTGGTAATTAACAAGGCAAATATGGATGGCTGCCATATATAGATATATATACAGTGATGTCTCGGCATTTACCATTGTACTCTATTTACACCACCATCACCACGAGGTCACGGTTTTCGAAAGGTCGGCAGTGGACGGCCACGTCTTCACGTGGGATCTAAGCGGCTACGCCAGTCTCATTGCCCGGGCAACCCTCCTAACGCCGGGATGACGGTGAATGAAGAGAGACCGAGAACCCACGAGAGAAAACCAGGAACCATCGGACACCGGGGACCAATTGAAAACCAGGTCCCCCTCGAAATATGGAACCCATGAGAACCAGATCCTCCAACCCATGCGGACGAGGAACCCACCGAAACCGTGACCCCGTTAGAACCAGGGGACATGTAAATGCGGAAACAGCTGCAGGTGTGGGGCCGCGGCGAAGCGAGGAGCCTGTAGATGGTAACCGCCAGAACGCTGTCACAACCTCCATGTACAAAACCACTCATGCACAATAGTGCACGTCGCAGACACTGCCAGCAGACAGAGGGGCCGCGTGCACTTCTTGGACGCACGGAACACCACGTGGCCTGTGATGACTCCCAATGGCCCGGCCTATTAAAGCAGCCCAGCTGGCCCTCGGTACTTGGCTAGGGCCGGCGCCGCACCTCTGTTATTACTGCCGCTGGTAAGTACCACTGCCAGTACCGCTTTCCCTCCTGCACTCAACTACAGCGCCACTGCCGGTACCGACCACTGCCAAAGAAGCCGCCAGTACCGCCGGCTAGTTGTCAACGCCAGCCGGCGGACCCGCACAGCACCCACATCCCTCTCCGCATGCTGCTGGATGGGAGGCAGCGAAGGCGACGACGGGCTGCTCGGCAAATGACCAAGCCTTCAGAGTTACGACGACACGTTCTGTTCAGGGCTCTTCCTCATTTTCTGATATAATGAAAGTCAAAGACTTTTGCTAACAATTATGCAAAACCACCGACTGGTATTACGTCACAATCGGCCAACTCACACGTAAGCAGCTATGGGCGCAATCTCGAGAGGGGCTCCCTACGGCCTCCGCTTCGTCCCAGCTCAAACCCCCCTCCTCCACGCTCGTTCCCTCCCCCCAACTACACCTCACGAGAGCACCCCCACAACGTGCAGCCACCGTCTCGAGTCCACTTACTACAGAACTGCTAATCAGTTTAACTACAGCTCTCGCCGCCACTACCACCATGACCAGCGCTGTGCCTTCTCTACACGACAGCTGGCATGGGAGGGGAACGCTATCCCCCCACCTCACTGCTAAAGCGGTACCAGAGAGCCTCCCAGCTCCGCGCACGCCCAGTGGAGCCGGCAGCTCGCACCATCCAATTTGACAATAAAACGATACTATTCACCAATAACATTGTTTTCTATGGATGCCTCAGATTAAGACGGAGTGGGTAAGAGGGACCGAGTCGTGTGGCGGTGGGGAGGGGGACAAGGGGGGGGTGCACGGGGAGGGGGGGGCGCTCCGCTCAGCGCAAAAAACAAGTGGCAACCGTTAGTCGTAGACACCGCCGCAGGGCGTTCTAAAATACTCAACATCTTATAGGTGTCAGGAAGGTCGATATTCCTCAGCTACAAAGTTTAAAACATGTCTAAAATGGGAATGAAATCCTCGTCAATCCTGAGCCCCAAATAGACCTCAATTAAATAAGAAATGGAAAGGATCGGACTCTAGTTTTCCTCGAGTGAAGCTGTGCGCGGTCGTGCATGCGGGGCAGTGGAGGCTTCAGTTTCTACGCTTGCGTCCACCAGCACCGCGCAGCACAGCTGCCCTCGCCACACCGGGTCGCGACCCCACCCTGCGCCATCGCAGCTGCCCCTCGCCACCCGGCGGCCTGAACCGCACCGCCTCGCAGGTAGAGCGGCGCGCGTCCCACCCCAGCGCCCACTTGACAAACAGCTAGCCCTTGAGGGAGAACTCCTCACCCGCTCGTACCACTCATCGTCAAGAGGAATACAATCAAATAACTTAAAAACCGTATTCGCACCAGGCATGGCTATTCACAACAGTACACGTCACTTGCCAAAACAATAACTGAAATTAATGGAAACAGCATGGCTTGGATACATCGATGAGTTTCTTTACATTTCTTTTCATTCTCTTTTTCTGTGTGTTTGGATAACTTTCTAAACACCGAAAAATGTATGACTTTAAAAAAGAGAAGACGATGACTCTTCATCATCAACAACAAAGAATAACGATGTTGTCAATGAGGGTACAAGATGGAGACAAGGTGACACTGGGGGCGGCAGCAGCATCTGCCCAACGTGGGTGCATGCGTGTCGGTGCGTACGTACGCTCCGACACGTGTGCACCCGCACTGGGACACATGTCATCACGTGTGCACGCACACACACACAATGGTCTATGTACCAGCGAATGTACGCATGAAGCTTACATTTCGGCACATGCGCGCACATACACAATCGTGCACGCACCACAGCAGGTGCGCGCCTCAATGTATGCACAAAAATGAACACAGCGATGCATACACGCCCTAAGCCAAGTGCACACGCCTCCCAACAAGTACACGCACGCAATGCACACGCACACATTCACCAGAACAAATTATCCAAACCGTAACGGGAACTTGCACCGGTGCACACATTCTCACAGCCGCACGTTAGCCACATTCACCAACTCCAACAGCCGCACTTGAGCAGCCACGCACACACACGCTCACGTTGACACACGCACACCCCGACAGAGGTACTTACGCAAGCACGGAAAAACAGACGCAGACGCGGGTGCACGCACTCACGCCGAGCCACGTGTGCGCGCACACACGTGCATACCCACATACACCGTAGAAATTACCCACTAAAAATCGTTAATACTGTACGTCACCACGGTATAATATAACGTAGCGCGCCACGGTTTTAATAGAATTGTAACAAATGTATATGATTGATACCCCAACAACCCCCACAACCCTCCCCCCCCTCCCATAAGCAGTGTAAATGCTCCCAATGTCACGTACACAACGAGCACACACGCGCGCACACAGAGACACACGCGCGCGGGGCCGCGTTGAGAAGGTGGGGCACGCCGGGTCCCTCCCGGGGCCCCAGCACTAGGGGGGCCTTGGTGTTGGGGGGTTCTATCTGTGCACAGGGGCTCCCTAGCAACAAGGGGAGGGCTCCGTACGTTCCACAGGTCGGCCTTCCTGTGGGGGGACGGGTTCGGTCCCTAGTGAGTGCAGCCACTAGAGGGGGGCAGGTGGGCAGCGAGCACGCACGCATGCAAGGGGGGTGGGGGGGGCAGAGAGGATGGGCGGGTGGGGGGAGGCGAAACGCGAAATTTTAAATCGAACTAATCAACCACGCAGACGCATGGCCGTATGCAGACATTCGCTCGACCGGTACATCTCCACCAGAACCGGCGCCCCGTCCACCCTCCCACCCACCCACCCACGACTGCCGCTATGCCCACAGCGGCCACCCCGACTGCTCCCCCGGCCGATCCCCTGGTGGGCCCTCCTCACACCAGGTTGTACTCCTTGAGGTTGAGCTGCAGGATGGTGTCCTTGACTGCGGCAAAGACGAAGCGGATGTTCTCCGTATCGGTGGCGCAGGTGAAGTGCGAGTAGATGATCTTGTCACTGTCGGGGTTCAGGTCGACGAACATCTTAAGGATGAATTCGCGGGCAGCCTGCGCGTCCCTCTGTGGGCCTGCGGACAAAGTAAGTTTGGGGGGGGGGTGGCAGGGGGAGGGAGAAGGTAGGCCCTCACGGCGTGCCAGAACATGTGTGAGTGTGCGTTTGTCAGAGCGTGTGAGTGTGGACATGCATGCGGGTGCGTGCCGTCCACGTATATTTGTCTTTGTACGTGGGGGTGGGGTGTGACACGGTGGTGCACGCAGGCAGAAGCGCAGTCGTGTGCTGGTGTGGGTGCGGATGCGTGTGTGTTGCCTCACCTTCAAACTCTGGGAAATAGTCCACGAGGTGAGAATACATGATCTTCTCCTCCAGCAGATCCTTCTTGTTGAGGAAGAGGATAACAGAGGAGCTGTGAAACCACGGGTAGGTGATGATCGTCCGGAAGAGTGCCTTGCTCTCCTCCATGCGGTTCTGTGGTACAAAGACACCCACGCACCGATAAGCAAGGTTGGCTACGTATAGTTGGATACGTATGGTTAGCGACGTACGGTGCCAAAATAAGTTCAATAAACACGCTTCCCACGTGTACCCTCTAAAACACGTAAGTACGCATGGGTACACATGCACATACAGGTAGATGCTCTCGCATAAGTTACACGCTCTCACGTACGCAGGTGCACAAAGAGCATGCTCACGCGTGCACACTTAAACGCCAGCACACATGAAGCACAAAAACACTCATGCACATGAATACATACACACATGGATGCAAAGCTGGAATCCAATGTTAAGGTCTACTGGCCACGACGAGAGGGCTTTAGGAGAGCTTTTGTGTCGTTTTTCTATTCCTCCTCTACAGACTAGAGTGGTTTAGTATATGATCCCCATTTTGGGTTGCATGGTCTTGTCTTTATTTTTCCATGTGCGCATCTGATGCACTTCATGGTTACATCAGTATTTGAGGAATGTCAAAACCAGGTGCGATGTTTGGGTCTCGGATGAGATGTCCAGAATAAACATCCGCATTGTTCCAATCTATTCGCCAGCAGCGTTCTTCCTGATCTGGGAGATTCTAGTATGGTGACAGTTCGATCCAAGAAGGGGCAAGTGCTGTTAGCGAGCAGCATGGCATATGAGGGGGTGGGTGGAAAGCACTACGCCCGGTCGCCTTTGTCTCCGCATTGCTGTTGTTTACACCCTGCACCAGGTACTCGTGTAAGGCTCAGTCGACCTAGGGGAGGCCCAGGACCAGTTAAGATATGTCATTGATGTTGGCCGTGAGCAGGTATCGGAGCCGAGCGCTAACCTCTGCACCTATTTCTGCACCTCCGATTAGCACCTCCGAAGTTCAGACATACATTGTCTGCTACTCACCTCATTGTCAGACTCGGCGAGCACCTGGTCGTACTCGCTCAGCGCCACCAGGAACATGATGGACGTCACGTTCTCAAAGCAGTGGATCCACTTCCTGCGCTCCGACCGCTGGCCCCCCACATCCACCATCCTGCACGCATGCGACATTGGGGGCTCCGTCACTCTGCTCACGCTCACCCCAAGCACAAGCCCCCAGCACAAGCCCCACTCCCGGAAATCCCTCCTGGAGGTGTCATACATGCTGAGGCATCTCTTTAGGAGAGTATCCTGTAGGCATGAGTGCGTGGGTCAGTGTGGGTGAGCATGTGGGTGTGCTCATGCGCCGTGTCGGCCTTCATGGTCAAGTGTGGAAGTAAGTATGATGGTGAGCTTGTGAGTTGAGCATGTGGTGAGTGAATGGAGAGTGTGTGAGAAGCGTGCAGTGAGCAAGTGCTCGCTACCTGAAGATTATATTCTCCAGGTCGAAGGGATACTCGATGATGCCGGTGGTGGGGACGCGCACACGCAATACGTCTTGCTGGGTCGGCAAGTAGTTGGGCCCCGAGATGCGGTCAATCGCGCTTAGGTAACTGTGGAAACAAGACAAGGTGGCACTCACCGAGGCCTTTGAACCGCGGGGGTGGGTGCGGCACGGCCAGTAACGAAATACAGCGACACTCACTATTTGGTCGAGTCGGAGAGCTGGTACTCGCGCCGGCGGTCGTAGCACTCCTCGATGCCGGGGTCGTCCCAGAGGCAGCGCACGGCCTCCACGTACGGCTTATCGAAGGAGCACACCTTCTCAATGTCCACCTCCCTCACCAGCTGTGCATGTTCCTGCCAGAGGAGGAAGACGTAAGCATGAGTTCAGGCCGAGACAATGGCTGCCAAGCCTTCAAGACGTCATCGTGGCCAAAGCCGCTGGTACTACAGCCCTGCGTCGCGACCAACGCTTTCTATTCGCTGGCTGATCTCGCTCGCAGCTGCTGCATAGGAAACACACGACCTCCAACATCTGCCCTGACAGTCTCCCACCAACTGCTCTTACGCCTTCTCCTTGGCTGTTGGACTCGTGGAGACCACTTGAGGGTTCGTCTCAACAATCGGTCTTCCCCCATCCTGTAAAAAGCAAGTATACAGGGCAAGTATTTTTACTGTACAAAATCCTGCCATGTTCCCTTCCGGACTTGTACATTGCTTATCCTGTCTTGTTATGAAATTCTTACCATCTTTTTCGGGTAGCAAGCCATACCCGAGTTGCCCAACCCCCACCGCCTATGGCAGGGCTTGCAAAGAAAAGCATTTCAATACAAAACACCGTCTACACTTAAAATAGCAAATTAAGCTCCCATTACCATATCCCTCTGCCAACTAAACATGGCTCCTTGCAGCACAGATAGCCTTGCACAGCCACTCTTCTTTACGGTGCCCAGGAAAACGCGAGTATGGCCATCAGTGAGCGTCTCCTCAAGCGCGATGATGCACGGGCCAACAAAGTCACACGACATGTACAGATGTACGTGCGGCTGAAGAGCCACACAGGCTTACAGGTGTAAAAACGTACAAATATACAAGGTTACAGACGTATAAACATCCAGGTGTAAAGGTTTGCATGCATCAGGTGAGCTGTCAGCTGCATGACGCAACAGTGCACGTTGTGCGCAAACCCACGGCCGAACGCCGACTGTCTACGCAATGGCAGCCATCGGCACAATTGACCCAGTGCTCACCTCCTTCCGTCAGCTAAAACACACATCGATAGCTGCGTGCACAGATGCCTCTAAACGGCTCAAGATCAACACAAGCACCACCGCTTCCCCACCCTCCCCGCCCCTTGTGGTGAAAGCAGCCTTTCCGTCTCGGTGCACCGCGTCCCCTGGGTGTGAAGGCCAACTTGGGCCTGGCGTCTCAATAAAAATAAACGAACTGCAGGGGTTGTGAAGTCGTCTGCGCAGCAAGTGAAGGCACCGGCAGGAACATCTAACCCGAAGGTGCTGGGTGCGCCCAAGTGCATGACCCTTGCTGGCAGGGGGTCATCTGCCCCGGGGACGTTTCACAACAAACGCGCACGCAGGTACAAGGCGGACCGACACGCGATACGATGGCGCTCAGAGGTGACCGGCGCACCAGGGTCAGCAGCGCCGTGCGTACGCAGCACGTATGCAAAGATCATGCTCAGAGCCGCTCATCGCCAGAGATGCAAAGCCAGATACGGTTGTGTCCCCACCCCCTCGCGCAGCGTACCTTGTTGTACTCGTAGGTGTAGGGGATCTTGAGGGTCTCCATGGCGCGGCACATGGCCTGCATGGCGATGAAGATGTTTTGGTAGACGAGCTTGATGAAGCCGCGCCGGTCTTCCTCCGTGTAGCCCGAGCCGTGGATGATGCGCATCTGCTTGATGAAGGTGCTCTTGCCACTCTCGCCGGTGCCTGCAAGGAAAGCAAAAGCTCCTGTCAGCGCGTACAGGTGTACGGGCGTACGTACAGGTGTATATTAAGGTGAAGAGCCACACAGGGTTAGAGACGTACTGATGGTCAGGTTTGCAGGAGGAGATGCATAGGTGTACAAGCACAGATTTACAAGTCTACAGACTTTTTAGCAGACACATGTACAGATGTGACAGGCTTGCAGGGGTGCATACAAAATTGGAGTACATGCAGGTGTAGAGTCGTATAGGTATAGTGACATACATCATCATCATCCAAAACCAATCCACTACAGGATGGGTGAACATAACTTAGACACCGAAATTTATAAGTGTACAGTTGTACAAATTCATGACCATAAGACATACAAGCACACACCGTAGAAACCTCGGGACCCCACGTCAAAACAAAATCACTTGTGGTTGGCTCAACCACAAAGACAGGGGCAGCATTCAGCCCTGCACATCTCACCGGGGCGGACCAGCCACTAAACCCCTGCCTTGAATACTGCACGGGTCACGCAGGTGTACTCATGTACAGGTATACAGGCGTACACACCTTCCACCGCACCTGCGATTAGCATGGATGGCTACGTACGATGCCAAGAACTTCAACATACATACATGTGCGCACACACCACCACGAGCAGCACCAACACAAACCACAACCGCACGTCATGAGGTGCAGTGGTCACCCACAATTCAAGTTGATTTTGTGTAACCAGGTTAGAACTCAAGACACCAGGATGAATAATTTGCAAAAGTGAGCAGGATCATTAAAAAGAGAAAATAGCATTAAAACAAAGTATAACAACGAAGCAAAGTGGAACTGAGAAAAAACAGCCAAATAATTAAGGCAGAGACAATCAACGATACACCACAGCGTAGGACGAAAGCTGCGGCGTTGGTGGCTGCTGCTACATTTTTGAGACGCGGTGGGGGCCCAGGTGCGGCCCTGGGTGCGGTGAGGCCACGGTGTACCATCCCCCACCCCCCCAACCGAGGGAGCAACGGTGCTGGGCCTCATCCTCGACCACGCGGGCGCGAGTGGTGCCACAGAACAGTTTAGTTCATTGTGAGGAACCCAGGAGAGGCGTCCCGCCGGCCCGTCATGCCGTGGGAAACCCTCCAAAAACAGCCGGCGGCAGGAATCCAGCGCACAGGGCTGCCTTGTATGGGAAGGGCCCCCCCTCCCCCACGGCCTCGGCCAGGGACCCAGACTTGGCCCGCCCTCCCCGAGTGAATCCACACAGCAGCAACGGCAGTGCTTCTTGTGCAAAACTTGTGGACACTGGCCAGTCCAGCTAATGGCATCCCACTCACAGGTGCTGCCCCCAGATCGCCTCCCACATCTTTCCCAGCAACAAGTGCTGGACATGTAAATGCACAAGTCCCAGTACGAGACCTATTCAGACAGCCCTTGTTAACTGGCACTCACCCACACTCACACAAACTCTTTCACCTTGACTTCACACACTCTCAAACACAGCCTCTATCGCACCCTCACACAAACACTCACCATCACTTCGACAATCACTCTCACTGCCGTTTCCCCTCTGCCTAACAGTGTGGTATAGGAATAGAATAGGAAACATTAAGAGAAGTACCGGTATATATGTCTGGTGCTCTGAGAATTGTTCACCTGGCTTACTATTTTATACAATGGATTTCCACCACCACAAGTACAACATATTTGCACACATTTCACAGGGGTTTCAAGCAACTGTGGCTGTGAGAATTATCTTAAAGGCAAACCAATCGCCCTTATATTAACCAACCACGCCTGGGTGTGTCAGCTTCCAGAATCACTAGGTGGTGTCAGTCAAAAGGAGGATCTGGCATTCTAATACTTCCGTTGGAGCTGCGTGGATTTCTATTTGTACCGGCATCGTTTGGATCGGAGCGAGGAGGAACACGGAGTCCACCCCCGAGAGCGAGCGCTGACGTGTAAATACGGGCAGGCAGCCCACTCCCTTCGGTTTCTCTGCTTTCCTGTCCCACAAAGACAACGATGCAGACGATGCTGCCTCCCATTGCATTCTTCCTCCACTGCAAACACAAAGCGAGGTAATGCATTTGCAGGCCTGCGTGCGTTCATGGGGGGGGGGGGGCACTGCCCGCCCCACTAACTCTCGACGAAGTCGAATGGAGGTGCAGGGTAGGACCCCCTCCCCACCCTCTGCGACGTGGAGGGCCACGGGGTAGATTACGAGGCCATGGCGCGATAAGAGGGCGTGGGCAAAGCACCACCGAGCCACGCCACGGCGCTGGAGCGCAAGCGGAACACAGACACCACCATCCCTTTACAACTTCTCGCAATAAATGCGGTGCGTACCGCCCACGGTCAAAGTGCCTTGTACCGTCGAGGACAGGAGGGCGAAGGTGCCGCGCGTTAGCTCCCCACCCACGCACCCATCCACCTACACACCTAACCATCCAGGCACCCAGCCAGGTATACAACCAGTCACTCAGCCAGGCCAGGTATCCAGCCACCTACCTGCCCAGCCAGCCAGGTGCCCAGCCAGCCAGGTGCCCAAGCAGTCACCCAAATAAATCACACCAGCTACCCAGTCAACTAAAGGATATGTGAAAGAGAGCTCTATAGCTCATCGGATTCCTCCAGTATAAATATTTTGATACCCATCTGGCTATCCAGATAACCAGCCAGCAACCCAACCAGTCAACTGACTACCTGACTATCCAGCTAACCACCTAGCAACTCACCCAGTCAACTATCCAACCGACTAACCAGCTAAGAAGCACCCAGAAACCCACTCATCCAGTCAACCACCTACCTACTGAGCCAACCAACCATACAACAATACATCTAACGAATGATATTATCCAGCCACCTAGCATCCATTCGCGTTCAGACAATTCATTATCCAGCCAGCCAAACAATGACAGAAATACGCAAAGCACGCGAGCCACGCAGACACCCAAACAACAAGCCAAACCTATATCCACCCAACCAGATGCATACAAAACCAGCCTGCTACCCAGCCAAAACCCATCCATACACACCCCCAATCCCCCACTCAGCTTTGGGGTCCTTCATGAGGAAAAACCTGGGTCCCACGGTAGGAAGCCTCGCCACTGCCCTGTAAAGTCCCGTGCAGAGACATAAAACCGAGGCACGACAGCCTAGCAACGCGGGATGAGGACCAATCCAGGAAAACTCAGGACCTCGGGCAAAAGCCCCGGGAAGCAGAACCCAAAGAGAGAGAGAGGCCAATGGTAAAAGGGGTCCGAAGCCATAAGACGGTGGACCCGGGGAGAGGGCACTCCAAACGTTCCCCCCCACAACCCCGGCCGGGCGGGGCAGACGCCTGATAAGCTCTACGCCGGGTTCTGCGCGGCCATGGCGGCCACATCCTCATCGACGCCAAACAAATCCCCCGGCCCTGGACTTTGGCTACGTCGGGCAAACCTGCGCTTGGGGGCGGAGGGGGGGCGCCGAATCCATCCGAGCGCCGCGGAGGCCCGGGCCCCGGGGCGGCGGCTTCAACAAACCCCCCGCATCCCCTCGGTTCCCTCGAATCCCCTCCCACCCCCGTCTCGCTCACCGAGCAACAGCAGCTTGAGCTCGCGGCGCGCATCCCTCTTGTCCCGCCGCAGCTGCCGCTCGATCTCGGCGTTGATTCGCTTGGCCTCCTTCTGCTCCTCGCTCAGGCAGCACGCCATCATCGCCCCCGCCGCTCCCCGCACGGGCATCACCCGCGCGGCGGAGGCGCGCCGCGGGCTCGCGGATTCCCGCCGCGGATCTCTCGGGGAGACCGAGAAGCGGGAGGCGGGCAGAGACACGAGGCCGAGGAGGAGACGGACGCGAGAGGGGGACGCAGCTCCTCGCTCCCGGCGGGTGGCGCCTCCGTCTCCCTCCTCCTCCTCCTGGTCGCAGCAGCGGCGGCGGAGCGGGAGGCAATATGGCGGCGCGCTCGATTCCCTAGCGCGGACGCGCGCCCACCCCCCCCAGGGGGGGCCAGCGCGCGCGCCCATTGGTTCAAGCGAGACCGCGTGACGCGTACGGCCCCGCCTCCATTTCGATGCTGGAGGGAGGGGGCGGGGCCGCGCGCAACGCCGCGGTCACGTGAGGGCGCGCGGTACCAATGGGTGCCCGAGTGCTCGGGAGGGGGGGGGCTGGGCGGCGCGCATCTGAGCTGGAAAATATGAAGCGAGGGGAGGGGCGTGAGAGGGGACGGGGATGGGGAAGAGGAGGCCGATGGACGAGGGAGACAAATGGGGGTGGAGAGGCGGGAGAGAGGCGGGTGACGGGAAAACAGAGGAGATGGGGGCAGAGGCGCAAATATACGGGGACAATGGACACAGGGAGAGAGAGGGAGGAGAGGCTCGAGACAGGAGGACGGGGATGGTAAACAGAGGGATGAGGAGGAAGAGGGGACTGCGTGACAGAGAAACAGGGAGATAGGGGGAGACAAGAGCAGAGACACACATATACAGAGTGATAGACAGGATGACCGAGAGACAGGGAGATAGAGACAAGGATACAGAGAGGCAGGTACATCGAGGAAAAGTGACAGACAAGAGACGGACCAGACACAGAGCGGATGAGACAGATACCTGGATGACAGACAGATATAGGACAGCGAAGGATTGTGGGCACAGGCAGGGAGACATGTTTATGTAGACAGGGGGACATGGAGGAGACAAGGAGACAGCGGCAGGGTATAGAGACAAGGAGGGAGACATAAACTGAAGGGCATGGAGACAGGAGCATGGAGACATTGACAAGGGGACAGACATATTTTGGGACATTATCTTAAACAGGGACAGAGAGTGAGCCGGAAAGACACGGATACATGCACACAGACACAGGAGACATGTAGAAACAGAGAGACAGACGTGGAGGGTACAGGTAGTCGCAAACAAAAGGTGTACATGGGGACATCGTAGCTGTGACGTGGGGGCAGGGGAGAGACATACATTGAGAGAGAGGCACAAATAATGGATGATATTTGAACGTGGATACGTGGACATGAAGACTGCGTGGACGGGTTGTGAGCGTGTGTGAAAGTGTACCCGCCGGTTTTGTCAGTCAACCCAAAGCACCTGAGTACGTGACGTAACCTCCTGCCAGCAGCGATCCTTCCACCCTCCACGTGACGGCCTCATAGTGCACCTCGCTTCGCACAAGCGCTGTGGTTGTTGATGATAGCTCGTGCGAGTGTGGTGTACGTGTTAATGGCTGTGAGTGAGGTGTGTGTATGAATGGTTGTGTAATGTGTGCTGTAGCATGTGTGTCGGCACCAGTCGGTGTGTGTTTAATAAAGGTGTCAGTGCCTGTACGTGACTGCTGCTGTGCCAGTGATTGTCATTATTCGTGGGTGTCGATGTGTTAGTGTGTACAGTACACCCTGTATATCACGGGCATGCATTATACCCTGCATATAACGGTTTGTGGTATCGGTGTTGAGAGCACAGCAGCTCTCTCACTGCTCACAGCAACTACATCAGTTACATCCCCTGTGCGTCACGTCTGCGACACCCATCACACGGCTAACACCACCACCGCCCCTTGTTACAGCAGAGCTGCCACACCTGGTGAACCGGATGTCGAGTGACAGACGTCCCCATCGCGACATCACGTGAACCCAGAGCTCTGACAGCCTCGGGGACCCTGACCCCTATCCCCACGATGGGACCCTGACCCTCCTCTCCCAGCGCACGCCAGCAGATGGCGATGAAGACCCCGCGAAACACGGGCTCATGACCCTGACCGCTAACATACAATACACACCCAGTAGACTGTATATAAACAGATCTCCCACATAACCTGAGATTATTGGGGCAAGCGCTGGTAGCGAGCGCCTATGAAGGCCGGCACGGAACACGAGGGGGTGGGTGGCCAGCACCACGCCCGGTCGCCTTTGTCCCCCCAGTGGCGATGCTAGCACATCGCACCAGGTACTCATTTGAGGCTGAGTCGGCCTAGGTGAGGCCCATAAACGGTTCAATTAAACGTCACTGTGGTGCACACAATATACGCACAATACTGTACAATACACACGGCACTACATACACAATACATACAATATCCAAAGCACATTGACAAAATACACACAGTGCACCTACAAACATAGCCACACACACACAGTAACATATTGCAGACGAAGAACACTTAGCACAATAACACGTGAACATTCAGCCAATGCGACGCTAGGTACTGTATGTTGCTCTTCTTTCGCACCGTACGTAACCAAACGTGATAATAGGTGCGGAGGAAGGACAACAAACTAAGATGCAAGCCCGAGTGGGGTGCAGCAGCTTGGGGCATCGCAGCATAATCCCATGTTGCACTCTGCTTCTATGCCTCCAACGCTTATGCAACCTCCACCAACCCGCGCTGACCGCTGTGGCAAATCTTCATGGTCACTGGTCACATACCTCCCCCCCACCACGACCCACACGGCGTGGGGCGGCCTTCATCCAGCAGTGGATCGACCACGCGGTTGCACACGCGTTCATCGCCAGCGGTGTGCTACGCTGAACCGGGAACGACCCCGGAAAGGCGAGGCACAGGCCGTGCTAATCGGGGGCGCTGCGCTCAGGGGACCCCGCCGGCCGCACCTGTCCCACTCCTCGCTGCGCAGATAGGGGTCAGGTTTCTCTCTCTGCCAGAACAACACAAACTTTGTGCTCTGGGCTGCTGAGCAAGGGCAACAAAGCCAGAAGAGAGAACATGGGGTCGTCGCGGGGAGACGAGCAAGGTCCAGTTTCACAAAACTCACATTGGGACTCGATCAGCAGATATTGCGCCTCCTTCACGTGTCTAAACAACACGACGCATCGCGTGTCAATAGCACCGTGGCTCTAAAGAAAATATATAATAGGAAACGTTACAGGCAATGGCCGTTCTTCATAGCACGTAGAAAAGCTAGGGAGAGATTGTGTAGATAAGAGTTTGCAACTTCACTTAATACCACGGGGACCTGATAAGAATTCACTATTGAAAATGTTTCCTGATTCACCGTTTAAAAATGGGCATACAGTATGTCGATATTGAGAAACAGGCATTTGCTACTAATAAACTCGTATTAAAAGTAAAATGTTTCTGGCACATTGCTTTATGGGTAACAATGTTGCAATCAGGCCAATGAACATCAATTCACATAATCCACTCGGTGATGCGTTCCCGGGCCAATGATTGAATCTATCCCTCCACCTGTACGTATATATAAAAGCACGTTTTAAACATCCTGTCAGCCACATGGCCTCTCTGGGAATGCATAATTTCAGCAGCTCCAGTTCAACACAAGCAAAACTCTGGACCGGTATCAACATTCAGCAACTCATCAGCGGTCAATAGCACTTGAATCAATATTGAGAATCGCTGTGCAGGTTAAACCGAGCCAGCTTTATGCACAAAGCTGCTTGGTCGGAAAGTCGAATGGTTCCCCGTGTCCCAGCAGCAGCCACTTAGTAGCATAACTAACTGGCTGCTGCTGGTTTAAATGACCGATGTGCCGACGATCCCCGTGTCGCCACTCACACGGGGCCGCGGACAGCGTTCGTATCGTTTATTTCAATACGGCGCGGGCGTCGTGTACAAAACATCTCGTTACGCTCCAACAACGTAATTCCGTTTTACAGTCCAGTGTGTTGCGCCGTGTGCGTACAAAGAGGCGCCCACGAGCCCTGTCTCAACAGGGCCCGCACGTCCCCCAGGGTCCCTGTGTCTCTCCAGCAAGGTCTCCATGTCTGCCCAACAGGGTCCCCATGCCCCCTAGGTCCCTGTTTCTCCTCAGGGTCCCTGTGTCTTCCCAGCAGCGTCCCCATGTCCCTTGTTTCTTCCTGGGGTCCCCCGTGTCTCCCCGTGTCTCCCCGAGACCCCCCTCACTGTAAAAGTTAAGACGCGGAGTCCTTCTCCTGGGCCCGTGCGCCCCATGGCCCCCCCACTTCAAGCTGGCCCACAAAGTCCCATCTATGGCAGACCTGGGGTGGGGGGTACTCCAATCCAAACGGAGGGTGCTCCAATCTATAGAGAAGTTGGGCTCAGTATACGCGCGTTGGGGGGCTCCAGCCCATGGCCTCCTGTGGCCCTAGTCCTTTTTCCACGGGTGTCAGGGGCAGGCCACCGAAACCGCAATGCAGGGGGCCACACGGTGGGGAGGGGGTGGTGGAAGAGGAGGCCACGGGCCAGGGAGACGCCCTCAGGGGTCCTCTCCTTTTCCTCCTCGCTGTGGGGGGCGTGTGGGGAAATCAAAGGCAGCCTCTCCCCAACTCTGCCCCAGTTCCAAGATGTCATGGAGGTAGGTGCTGCCCACAGCCCAGGGCAGCCTGGGCCTGCCGAGCTTTGTTCAAGTGACTCCAGGTCCTTCCTTCGGCAGCAGCGGCGTTCGCCCAGAAACGCTCGCCGCGTCCACCCCTCTGGGCGGCCTCAGCATTCCCACGGCCATAGCCGCTGCCTCATGCCGCTCTCCCTGCCAGGCTCACTGCTCGGGCGGGGGGCGCAGCGACTTGAGCTTGCGATCGTCGAGCGCTTTCCAGTAGCGGTAGTTGGTGCTCAGGTGCTGCATGAGGTTCGGCAGCTCCGCGTAAGCTGTGGGGGGCGGGGTGATGCATGCACGTGAGAAGATTTACAGGGCATTTCAGAGTGAACTCATGCTGGATCCCGAACGCCACCGGAAATTGCCCGCAAATCTGCCTGATGTTCGCGTCGCAGAAAGTCACTGGATTGTTGCTAACGAATCACCAAGTTTACTGAGAATTGCCGAGTCGGCAACGCCTTGACCCCCCCGCTCCCCTCCGTGTCTCACCGTCCCACGCGTCGAACATGTCGGTGATGAAGTAGTCGATGAATGAGATCTGGGACTTGGGGACGCTGCACGAACAGCGGTCGAACACGGGCATCACCACAGGCAGCCCCTTCCTCTTCTCCTCGTCCGTCTGCAGGGCACACCATCATCATCACCAAAGCCACCACCACCATTATCATCATCACCACCACCTCCACAGACGTGCGTATGTGCACGTGGGTATGTGCACGTGCGTGTGCGTGCCTGTGCGAAGTACTCCTCCGAGATGCGCCCGGCCCACTCGACGCAGAGCGCGAGCGGGCGGCACGGGTTGCACACGTCGGCGCACTTGATGAGCATGCGCTTGACGAGGAGGCGCATCTCGGGGGTGCTCGGGGGGCCCGGCCCCCCGCCCGAGTCATCCTCGCTGCTGCTCCCATTCTGGGGGAGAGGGGGGGACACGTGTCACCAATGCGCGTGTGCGTCTACGCGGCTCACGGGCGTCGTTGACCCAGGTCGCCCTTGCGAATAAGGCTCCTGCCCTGGTCGCGCGTGTTGCCAGCTATTTCTACAAAAACAACTTGACAACTTGAACTGTCCACTCGTACGGATGGCAGCAGTAATATGTTCACTAGTGAGATGTCAATGCCGTGGTCTGCTCGCCACGACGAGGGCTTCAGGAGCGAGTTCGTGTAGTTTGGCTGCTCCTCCTCAATTGAAGGAGCGCAGACTACATTGGTTCACTATATATGGTACATAGTTGGTCTTGCATAGCCATGGTCGTGAACGCACGTTGTGTTATGTGGGGCATTTTCCGTTTACGGCGTAGGTCCGTGGTTCTAATCTTACCATATATGAGTGTATAAACTACAAGCCGTCTGTTTCACAGCGGCAGTTAACGATCCAGTAACATATTGAAAGAAGAGTCGGCAATGGTGTGCTGGAGTTACGGTCTAAATTGCCCCCCCTACTGTGAAAAACAGGAGCCTCCTGAAAAAGAGTATTGAGGTCCATTGAGGCTTTCCTGGGAAAACAATCTAAATATTAATAAGTCATAAATAGTGTCTATGCATCGGTGTGTGTAAGCGCCCTTGCCTGCCAATCCGTAGTGCACGTCTCTAACATATACACATGGTCTGTGAGTCACCTGGTGCGCGTGGTGTTTGGGGAGTAGTGGCACAGCGGTTGGTGCACTGTGCTACGAATCCGGCGATCCGAGTTCGATTCCCCACTCATGGACAACATTGGTGACGAATATCTGAAGCGGTCCGGGGCATCCTCTAGGTCGACTCAGCCTCAAATGAGTACCTGGTGCGACGTGTAAACATCGCCACTAGGGAGACAAAGGCGACCGGGCGTGGTCCTAGCTTCCCATCCCTTCGTGTGCCGTGTAAAGTCCGGGGACCTTTGTCTTTGCACACGGGTGTGTGCGTGCGTGTATACATGTGTGTACGCGTGCACCCGTGTGTCACCGTGTTCGTGCACGCACACACGTGTGCTCGTGTGTGCGCGCGTGCGGATCCACCCACCAGGGACACCGAGTCCCCCGTGCTCCCGGCCGCAGCCATCTTGTTGACACTGTTGACGAACTTGTTGACGTGCTCGAAGTGCTTGGTCATCTCCGTGGCCAGGACCATGTCGATGATGGCCTGGCGCAGAGTGCGGAACTCGCTCCTGCCACACACACACACACACATGCCCCGTGTCTCTCCTCGCACGCCCCGCGTCTCCCCCCGCACGCCTGTGTCTCTTTAAAGAGACGGCAGTAGCAGCTGCAGCACTTCTAACATCTGCTCCGACAACAATAATCATCCGTGAAGCCACAGGGACGCAGAACGAGACCAAACGTGAATCCGATTGAGGAGTCTCGCCACTGTCACCTGTCCATGTTGCGAAAGATGTTGGCGGCGCGGTCGCGCATGCTCAGCTGGAAGGCGAGCGCCGCGTGGTGGCTCTCCAGCACGGCCGTGTCGTTGTAGAGCACCGCCAGCTCGCTGCCCGCGTTGCACAGAAACGAGTTGGTGCGCCCCGGGTGGTCCACGTCGTGCACCGTGGCCGCAATGAGAGCCGCCACCTCGTCTGCCTGGTCCAAGCAGCTCTGGGGAAACGCACGCACGCGCGCGCACATAGACAAGCACGGAAACATCAACAACTTCTGACGTTCTTCCCAAGCTTCCCTTTTCAGAATGCGGTGCGACCGCGAAGCGTGACTCTGAAAGAAGCACCGCAAACTCATCCATGCTCCTCACTTACGCTTCTTACCCACGCTCCTTGCAATATGTTAATAAACATACAAATGCACAGTGCACTCCAAAGGCAAAACCGCAGGAAAAATGCAAACCAACACAATCACGGAATGTGTCGCATCAGTGTCAATGAGAGTTAAGAGTGGAGATGGCGAGTGGGAGTGTTTGGATGGAACGGGGAGCCGGTCCATTGTCGGAACTGTCTGCTCATTGCAGACGGCTTGAAGAGCGAGACGCGGGGTTGTTTATGAATCCCCGTGGGCCCCGGGGGCGCCAACGCGAGCGGTGTTTGTGAACGCCCGCGCCGCGGGAGTTCACCATCGGCACGTCCTCCTCCTCCCCCCTCCTCCTCCTACCCCAATCCTCCTCCTGCTCCTCCTCGCGTGGAGGCATCATGGCGTCATGGCAACACGGCTCGAAACAGCCATGAGGTGACTTCCTGCGCATATGGGGGGCGGTCGCTAGCGCCTCCACCGTGGGGCGGAGGCCCTGACGGTCGCTCCTGCGTAAGAGCTGCATCCTGTTATTGTGACCCAGCCCAGCGCAGCTCCCTGCACCCCCACGGCCTCCCCCACCCTCGCCACAGGAGGCCCATCGCCCTCCCCAGCCTCACTATCTCACATTCCCAGCAATGCGTTCCTCTATCTGCAATGCATTTCCGACAAACCGCCCAAATGTGGCGACGATGAGTACCTGCATGCATGCACAGCTCTCCGTGTACTCTGGTGTGTGTGGGTCTCTGTTCATGTGTGCGTGCGCCTCCTTGTCTCCGTGTGCCTCCATGTCCCTGCGCACCTTCACCCACTTAGGCGCAGGAAGTATGCGGTGACGTGCAGCACGTCGGCAGCGTGCGTCGGGTTGTGCTACGAGTTACTCGAGTGGTGGTTAGGTGGTAGTTAGGGGGTACCTTGACCCGCTCTTTGCGCAGAAAGTATGCGGTGGCGTGCAGCACGTCGGCAGCGTGCGTGGAGTTGTGGTACGAGTTGCTCGAGTGGTAGTTGGCCTCGATAAGAGACAGCCACGCGCGCAGCGTCGCCTCCGAGCAGCCAAGGAAGTCGCAAACCCCGAAGCGTGCAAACACCTTGAGGCCCAGGTACACGAGCGGCCTGGCGTGGATGCACACGCACATACGAACAAAGACGCACTGCATTCACATACACGTACAGACACACACGGGGACACACGCTCACGGGGACATGCATAAGGACACAGACACATACAGGTGCGGACACACACGCTGTGCTGTTGAAATAGGTTGTGCATAAGCAGGAGATTGGCACGGAGGCTACTCCTGCGTTTGCGTAAATCCCGTGGGGCACCGTCGCGGTCAATTGCAGTGTTGTGTTTAATCGCGCAGTCCTGCACCACAGTAGTGACACCACAGTTCTGCAGCACACCGCGGTGCCACCACTTCGCGTCTCGCACACCGATCCCTTGCACTGGGCGCCTTGGACCCCAGTGCAAGGGATGAAGGAATGGGCCCTCGGCACCGCGGGACCTGGTGGGCGCTGTGTGGTGTGGTCAGTACAGGGCGGTTCAGGCGGTGCGTGGTGCGGTGTGTGCAGTGCCTCTTGTGCGTGCTGCTCTCGAGCTCGAAGATGTCGAAGTCCCAGGTCTCCTCCGCGTCAAGGATGAACGCCACACAGGGCGGTGCGTCGCCCAGGCACGCGGTCAGCGCCAGCGCGGGGGCCAAGTGCTGACTGGAGCCTGCGCCGTACGCATGCGGACCAAAGACAGGAACAAGCATTGGCAGCCGCTCTCGAACAGAGGTGATGCTGCCTCGTGCGTCTCCGTGGCTTCTCTCACCTACTGCTTTGGTCAAGGGTACGAACCAAACAAACCGTAGGGGCGAGTGCTGTTAGCGAGCACCTATGAAGGCCGGAATGGAGCACGCATCTCCCCACTGCTTATGTTTACACTCACGACCAAAGGGAGGCCCAGGGCCGATGCAGATACTCGTCACCGATGTTGGCCGTGAGTGAGGAGGGGGGGGGTCGCAGGGTTGATTGCGCAGTGTATTAACCACTACACTACCTCTCCCCACTTACACAAACATCACAAAGACCCCCGTATAGCCTGAACAGACTGTTGGGGCAAGTGCTGTTTGCGAGCACCTATGAAGGCCGGCACAGCACACGAGGGGATGGGTGGCCACCACCACGCCCGGCCGCCTTTGTCTCCCCAGGGGTGATGTTAACACACCGCACCAAGTACTCATTTTAGGCTAAGTCGACCTAGGGGAGGACCATGATCGGTTCAGATAATCATCACTGTTGTTGGCCGTGAGCGGGAATCGAACTCGGGTTGTCAGGTTCGTAGCGCAGCGCGCTAACCGCTACGCTACCACTCCCCACCACTTATATACAAATACATGCACGTACACGTGTTGTGTGTATGCATGCACAGAGTGGTGTCGGACAGATGACTGTGCTCCCTTTCCCCGGCAGCCCCGTTATCTTTTCCCAATGCCCCATGACCCCATGCATCACGCCGTCTTCCCCGTGTTCTCCAAACTCCACAGCCCGTGCCCCCGTTTTCTCAGTGTCGTTTACACCCATGCTCCATAGTCCTGCCCTCGTTCCCTGTGTACGCCGTGACCCCGTGCTCGTACTCTTGTTGAGGATGACCTCGTTCCCCGAGAGCCTGCGGAGTCCGTCCTGTGGGCACAGGGCACACGGTCGCTGGTCAGTGGGGTCAGCGGGGTCAGTCGCACAGCGCGGTAGCACCCACCGCTGGTGCGTGTGTGCACGCACCACTGGTGCGTGCGCACACGTGTGTGCGTGCGTGTGTGCGTGCGTGCGTGCGAGGTACCGTGACGAGTCCCCCGAGCAGGTCGCTGGTGTGAGGGTCGGTGTGGGGGTTGGGCGCCGCGTCCGTGAGCTGTGGAGAGTAGAGCTCCGCGCTGCGCAGGATTTCCAGCACCCGGTCCAGGGCCTCGGCCACTGAGCCCGGGCTGCTCTCCTGGGCCGCATTAATTATGTTAATGACCTGCGGCGGGGGGGGGGGGGTCAGCAGCAGGGTCAGGTTTGGGATTGGAGGCAGTGTTAGGGCACGGGTCAGAACTGGGGTAAGGGGTTGGAGCTATGGCTAATGATCGTTCAGAGCCAGAGGAGCAAGGTCAGGCTCAGGGCTATGGCGAATGTTAGAGGGGGGAGAGGTATAATGACATTGGCCATATGGAGAGGAGAGGCAGCGTAGGTCAACTTCAGGGTCAATGGGTAGAGTAAAAGTTAAGGTCATGGTCATGCCCAAGGTTAGGGTCAGGGCCATGGCGTGTTACCTGTACAGGAGGGAGGTGAAAGTGTGATGACGTGGCAAGTGCAATGAGGTGAGGGTGCATTGAGGTGAGGATGAGGTGAGGATGAGGAGCTGCGTTACCTTGGTTATGGGAGCCTCTATCGTCATGGAGTGAATCCGCGCCATCGAGGAGTTCCGCCTCGGCTGTTGGAGGCTGCCTGCTCACGCGGGCACACACCAGCAGCAGCAACAACAACCGCCATTCGCCACTAAGTGGCGCAGACGTCACCACGGCGCTTGTGCCAGACTATGTGCACTTTAAGGCCATGTAAAGTATGGAACGCCCGCTGGCCGGAGGTCACGGCACAGACCCAGGTTCCATGGATGAACTGACTAAGATTACTGGCAAAAGCACCACCTGTGCCCCATACTGTGCCAACTTGCTGTGATTGTTATCTGCCCGGCGCTCCGATCGTTGATGTGAGCATCACTCCTCTGCTCTCCTTTAGAGGCCGACTGCCTCCAACTTCCCAATAGCGTCCTTCACGAGCCTCCTCCACAGAGGCCGATCTTGACACCGCTGGTACTAGTCATTGGCAAGTCCACTCAGCTCCATATCCTCTCATACCATATAATTCCATCTCTTCTCTAGCCCTTGCTGCGCCCGTTTAGCCCCCTCTAGCCGGCCGAACAAAAGCTGTTTTGGCATGCGGTGACTTGGCATGCGGGCTACAAGACCCAGCCAATGCAGCATTGTCTGCTGGAGGAGCTAAACGATGGGACTGTGTCCAGATCTTTCAAGGATTTGTGAGCTCTTCAAACAATCTAGACTGGTTAAACCCAAGATGGATTGTAGGCAGGCCAGCCTGAATATTTCTATTTGGGGGATCCACGTTTCTCAAGCATAGAGAAGGGAAGGCATAACTATGGCCGAGAAGACCCGACGCACACACACCGTTACACTCGCACATCGACACACAGTTGCACACAGACACACTGTTACACACGCGGACATACGCACAGTTACACACGCACGTAGATACAGTTACACACGCACACAGACGCACAGTTACTCACGCACACAGTTAGAAACTCACACCGACACAGTTACACACGCACACAGACACACCGCTACACACACGTACATATACAGTTACACACGCACGTAGATACAGTTACACACCCACACAGACACACACGCACACAGTTACAAACGCACACCGACACAGTTATACATGCACACCGACACACAGCTGCACACGCACAGACACATAGGTGTACACGCACACAGACACACAGTTACACACGCACACAGTTACACATGCACACCGACACACAGCTGCACACGCACAGACACATAGGTGTACACGCACACAGACACACAGTTACACACGCACACAGTTGCATACGCACACAGACACACGGTTACACACGCACACAGGCACACGGTTACACACGCACACAGACACACAGTTGCACAAGCGCACGCTCGCTGTAAACAGTGGCGACAGCCATTCCCCCGGGTCGAGGTATTGTCTGAGACAGGGAGGGAGAGGGAAGGAGCAGAGCCGTGCCCAGACCCTTGCCTGGCACCCCCCCCCCCCCCCCACACCTTCTCAGTAGACAGCCCCCCCCCCCCAGCAGACAGCCTGAAAAACAGATCCACATCTCCTATGGGAATAAGGGGCATTGGGAGTTTTGGGCTGTATGGGGGGGGGGGGGTATGGGGCTCTGGGGGGTATGGGGGATTGAGGGTACGGGGGTATGTGGTTTTGGAGGCACCGTGGCATGACCGGGTGTGTGTGTGTTGGGGGAGATGGGGGGTTGGGGTGGGGGTGTGGTATCAGGGCAGGAAAGCCAGCAGACAGGGACGAGGCTGGCAGGGTGGGAGCGAGGGGGGGGAGGAAGGGGAGGGGATGGAGGGCTAGCGTGGCTGTCACCGTCGCTGCCGCGGGAGGTCACCGAGCGGATGTCCAGGGAGCCCGTCCTGCGCTCCTTGTGCCGCTGGGAGTGGGGCTCTGCGGGGCGAGAGAGGCGCGTGAGTCGTTACAGCGCATGTGCGTGAGTGCTGGGGTGACCCCTGGATTGGCCGTGACCCCCCTGGTCTCCGTGCTGACCCCGGTGAGATGCCGGCTTTCGCGGGCGGGGTTGGGGAGGGGGCGGCCTCTGGGAGCTCTGTGCTCACGTTTACGTTTCTCCTCCAAGAACCGATTTCCTTCTTAGAAGGAAGCAGCGCTTACAGATTCATCACGAGCAGCAGCACGCGCGGGGGGGAGGGGGGTGAGGGGCCCGTGCGTGGATCTGTGTCCACGTGTCTTTGTAGACGTGTCTGTGTGCGTGGGCCTGTGTACACATGTCTTGGTAGACGTGTCTGTGTGCGTGGGCGTGTGTCCACGTGTGCGTGGCTAGTGAGCTGCGCTACGAACCCGGCGACCCAAATTCGATTCTTGCTCACGGCCAACACCAGTGATGATCATATGAACCGGTTCAGGGTCTAGTCCAGGCCGACGCAGACTCAAATGAGTACCTGGTGCGAAGTGTAAACATCGCCACTGGAGACAAAGGCGGCCGGGCGTGGTTCTGGCCACCCACCCCTCGTGTGGCGTTGCCAGCCCTCAGAGGCATTCACGAACAGCACTTGCCCCAACAGTCTGTTTAGGCTATAGGGAGGATCTTTGTCTTTATGTGTGTACCTGTGTGTGTGTACCCCTACCCGTGCCGCGCTTCTCACCTGCGTCCCCTTGGAGTCGCTCGTCTCTCCCTGTGTCGCTCGCCCCCTGCGGCCGCCACCCGACATCCACAGTCAAACACGGACAGGCACAGAGACAAAGGGGAGCAAGCGAGGGCTTTACCATTCTGGCGAATTGCCCGATGATGCTGGATGTATTTACCAGCGAAACGTCGTACTCAAACTGTAAATGTGGATTCACTCTTCAACACACCGGTGGGCTAAAGTAGTGAACTATTCGTTTTTTGTCAGTGTGACACTTTTTTTGCTGATTGGCTGTGTCGGGTGGTGGAGGGTTACGACACATTTATAAATAAACGCGATCTAACCCAAAAACCTTTATTATGAATAATATTGGTCGCGAAAGCCTACGTGTTAAACTGAGAGGCAAAGGTCCCCCGCATTGCCCACACGGGCTTTTGGGGCAAGTGCTGTAAACGAGCGGCACCTACCAAGGCCGGCACACTACGACCAGAACTGCACCTGGAGATATTTACACACAGCGGTATCTGGTGCTGCGTGGTGCTGTGTGCAAACATCACCAGATACTCATTGAAGGCCGAGTCAACCGACACACGGGCATACACACACGTACTCACGTACACACACGTACTCACGTACACACACGTACTCACCTATACACACGTACTCACGTACATGCGCGCGTCACTCCCGCTCGCGTTACCCTCACGCCCTTCGCGATCGCCCCCCCCCACCCCCCCGAGTGGTACCTGCTTGCGCTTGTCCCCGCACGGACGCTTGATCGCCACGTAGTGACGGATCTTCCTGCGGAGGAGACACGGGCCAGTTCAGAGGGGCTGCACACGCGCACGACAGTCCGTTCGCACGATGGGTGTGGATGCGTGCGCGTGCGTGCGCGCGTCCTACCCGCCCTGCCCCGTGACCGGGATGATTTTCGCTTGTTGCTTGACCGTGTCGCCGTTCTTACGCCTCGCGTAGTAGATGCCCTGCCACTCCTAGGTGTTTACACGCCACGCACGCACACACACATCGCACACATAGAGTAAGGGAAAAAAGTATTTGATCCCCTGCTGATTTTGTACGTTTGCCCACTAACAAAGAAATGATCAGTCTATAATTTTAATGGTAGGTTTATTTGAACAGTGAGAGACAGAATAACAACAAAAAAATCCAGAAAAACGCATGTCAAAAATGTTATAAATGGATTTGCATTTTAATGAGGGAAATAAGTATTTGACCCCCTCTCAATCAGAAAGATTTCTGACTCCCAGGTGTCTTTTATACAGGTAACGTACTGAGATTAGGAACACACTCTTAAAGGGAGTGCTCCTAATCTCAGCTTGTTACCTGTATAAAAGACACCTGTCCACAGAAGCAATCAATCAATCAGATTCCAAACTCTCCACCATGGCCAAGACCAAAGAGCTCTCCAAAGATGTCAGGGACAAGATTGTAGACCCACACAAGACTGGAATGGGCTAGAATACCATTGCCAAGCAGCTTGGTGAGAAGGTGACAACAGTTGGTGCGATTATTCGCAAATGGAAGAAACACAAAAGAACTGTCAATCTCCCTTGGCCGGGGGCTCCATGCAAGATCTCACCTCGTGGAGTTGCAATGATCATGAGAACGGTGAGGAATCAGCCCAGAACTACACGGATCTTGTCAATGATCTCAAGGCAGCTGGGACCATAGTCACCAAGAAAACAATTAGTAACACACTACGCCGTGAAGGACTGGAATCCTGCAGCGCCCGCAAGGTCCGCCTGCTCAAGAAAGCACATATACATGCCCGTCTGAAGTTTGCCAATGAACATCTGAATGATTCAGAGGGCAACTGGGTGAAAGTGTTGTGGTCAGATGAGACCAAAATGGAGCTCTTTGGCATCAACTCAACTCGCCGTGTTTGGAGCAAGAATGCTGCCTATGACCCCAAGAACACCATACCCACCGTCAAACATGGAGGTGGAAACATTATGCTATGGGGGTGTTTTTATGGTAAGGGGACAGGACAACTTCACCGCATCAAAGGGACGATGGACGGGGCCATGTACCGTCAAATCTTGGGTGAGATACTCCTTCCCTCAGCCAGGGCATTGAAAATGGGTCGTAGATGGGTATTCCAGCATGACAATGACCCAAAACACACGGCCAAGGCAACAAAGGAGTGGCTCAAGAAGAAGCACATTAAGGTCCTGGGGTGGCCTAACCAGTCTCCAGACCTTAATCCCATAGAAAATCTGTGGAGGGAGCTGTAGGTTCGAGTTGCCAAACGTCAGCCTCGAAACCTTAATGACTTGGAGAAGATCTGCAAAGAGGAGTGGGACAAAATCCCTCCTGAGATGTGTGCAAACCTGGTGGCCAACTACAAGAAACGTCTGACCTCTGTGATTGCCAACAAGGGTTTTGCCACCAAGTACTAAGTCATGTTTTGCAGAGGGGTCAAATACTTATTTCCCTCATTAAAATGCAAATAAATTTATTACATTTTTGACATGCGTTTTTCTGGATTTGTTGTTGTTATTCTGTCTCTCACTGTTCAAATAAACCTACCATTAAAGCTATATTCTGATCTTTTCTTTGTCAGTGGGCAAACGTACAAAATCAGCAGGGGATCAAATACTTTTTTCCCTCACTGTACACGCTGCGTTGGCTGGGTCATGTAACCCGCATGCACAGCCACTGCATGGCTAAGTAGCTTCTGTTTGGCCATTTAGAGGGGGCTATACGGGCGCGCCACGGGCTACAGATAAGATGAAGTCATCCGGTACAGGAGGATGCGGAGCTGAGTGGACTTGCTGATGACATGTATTAGCAGTGTCAAGTCCAGCCTTCGTGGAGGCGGCTCATGAAGGACGCTACTGGGTAGTTGGAAACAGGCGCCATCCAATAACAGCGGAGGGCAGAGGAGCGACACTCACAATTACAAGTCCAGCGCCGGTGACACAGGATGAACCACAGGTGATGCCACTGCTTTAGTCAGTCATCTTAAACAGTTAACTCATGGCAACTGGGTCTGTCCTATGACCTGCCTAAAACGAGCTTTTGACACTTCACTTGGCCTCAAAAAGCACCTAGCCTGGCACAAGCGCCGTGGTGACGTCACCGCCACGCAGTGGTGGTCGGCGGCTGTTGTCGCTGTGCGTGTGTGCGCGGTCCTTGCTTTGCCCTTCTTGATGCGGGAGGTGATGGTGTCGAGGAGATCCGCGCGGTTTCTGTCGCTCTTGGGCAGCTCCGTGAGCTCGCGGCCCACGAGCTCCCCGCTCCTGTAGCCCATCATGCGCTCAAACGCCGGGTTCACGTACTGCACGCACACGCACGCACAGATCCCAGTGTATCCTTTCACAGACTCTCGAGAAAATCGCTGCTGGCGAGCCACCTATCGAGGCCGAAACGGCGCAAAAGCGGGTTGCATCGCCAGCTCCACGCCCCTGGCCGCTTTTGTCTTCCCAGTGCTGATGTTTACACACTGCACCAGGTACTCGTTTAAGGGTGAGTCGACCTATGGGATGGTCAGGAGCGGTTCAGATATTCGTCATCGATGGAGGCTGCGAGTGGGAATTGAACTCGTCTCACCAGGTTTGTAGCTCAGTACGATAGTCACTGCACTCCCGCTCCAACGCACGCACAGAGCAGCAGGCAGCGGCGCTCACCTGGATGAGGTGCTCCTCGCTCGTCACCTCCACCGCGTCCTGGCAGTTCGCCAGCGCCGTGAACACCGACGAGGCCGCCCTGGGGGGAGGCGAGGGGGAGGAGGGGCGTGGAAGGTGAGGTGAGGAGGACGAGGGCGGGAGACGAGGGGTATTAACACTGCAAACAGACGAGGAAACCGCGGAAATCGGCACCAGGGGCAGACGCCTCCACGCGGGGCTCTGCAGCGCTGCCCGCGAGTCCGCGCTGGCACCGTGGTTGGCAGCCCAAGCCGCACTCGCTCCTTTTTCCGCGCTCGCACGCAGCGAATCTCAACAGCGCTGTGGTTTGAAAACTGGTGGCTTCATTTACATTGATCAGCTGTCCGCTCGGGAGCGCCCTGACCAGCAAAGCGTCGGGGATTCCGCAGGGGATTCCGCTCACGTCGATTGGTTGTTGTCGAACGCCCAGCGCTCTCCGGATTGGTGGGGCGTACGGTGTTCCATCCTGATTGATCCACATTTTTAAAAGGCGCACGGCCGGGAACATTAGGAGGGAGAGCGCAGGTGGACGAAGGGAAGCCAGAGACCGTGGCAGCGGACTTCCCAAGACGAGGGGTGGGGGGGGGGACAGATCGATTCACGAGTATCTGATCAGGGTACCTGGGCCTCCCATAGATCGAATCAGCCTCAAATTAGTACCTGGTGCGGTGTGTAAACATCGCCACTGGGGAGACAAAGGCGGCCGGGCGTCGTGTTGGCCACCCACCCCCTCGTATGCCGTGCCAGTATTCGAAGGTGCTCGCTAACAGCACTTGCCACCACAGTCTATTGCAGGCTATACGGGGGATCTTTGTCTTTTGTGTGCGTGCGTCGCTGGCTGAATAACGTCGCCACTCCAGTGCTGCACTCGAGTGGTGGCCTCTGTTTCGCTGACAGACAAAGCTCAGACGGCCAATCCAGCAGCCGTGATGAGGCAGGTGACCAGGAGAAGATGGCAGGTGAGGGGAGATAGTGGGAGGTGAGAGGCAGGTGTGTGATCGGCGAGGCGAGGGCAGGTAAGGAGAGATACTGACAGGTGAGAGGGATGAGAGCGAGGTTTTAAAAGGTGAGGGGAGGAGGCAGGAGGTGCTGAGGGGTGGTCACGTAGAGGCACCTGGGGATACATTCTTCTCGCTCGCTCTCTCTTACACTCTCTATCGCTGTCTCTTGCTCCCTTGCACTCTCTCGTGAGGCTCCGTGCGGTCCCCATCACCTGCGCTGCGCACTCCCTGCACCTGCTGTGCCCAATCATCACCAAGCCCCCCCCCCTTCCGAATGCACCACGTGGCAGGGCACAGGGGAGAGGGGGCCCTGTAACCATGGCGACGCCGGTGGGGGTGTTGGGGGGGGGTGCTGGTTACCTGAGCTTGAACTGGGCGCGCACCTCCCCGTACTCGAGCTGCAGGAGTTCGTTGTAGCACGCGCTCACGCTGGGGGTCTCCACAAAGCGCTGCACACACACAGACAAAGCCGCCCCCGTATAGCCTTGACAGACCGTTGGGACAAGTGTTGTTAGCCAGTGGCATCTATGAAGACCGGTACGGCACACGACGGAGTGGTTAACCAGCACCACGCCCGGCCGTCTTTGTCTCCCCAGTGGCGATGTTCACAAACCGCATCAGGTACTCAACCCAGAACCAGTTCAGATATTCGTCACTGTTATTGGTCGTGAGCGGGAATCGAAATCGGGTGATCAGGTTCGTAGCGCAGTACGCTAACCACAACACACAGGCTGCTGAGTGTGCGTGGTGCTGAGTGTGCGTAGTTCTGAGTGTGCGTGGTTCTGAGTGTGCAGGTTGCTGAATGTGCAGGGTGCTGAATGTGCAGGGTGAGAGGGGCCCTACCCGAGTGAACCCGGCCGATATGAGGGGCATCACGGAGCCCTCCTCTTGGTCCGGGGGCCTGGACCAAGCAAAGCACGGACATAAGCACACAAAGATTCCCCTATAGCCTTTTATAGACTTTTGGGGCAAGCACTGCTGGGGAACGAATTGTTAGTGAGCACCTATTTAAACTGGCACGGGAAATTAGGGGGTGGGTGGCCAGCAACATGCCCGGTCGCATTTGTCTCCCTAGTGGTGATCTTCACACATCGCACCAGGTACTCATTTTAGGCTGAGTCGGCCTAGGGGAGGCTCAGGACCGGTTCAGATAATCTGATGTTGGCCATAAGCGGGAATCGAACTTGGGTCTCCGGGTTCGTCACGCAGCGCGCACTCCCCTCACAGGGAAACTCACGCACCAACCGCCATTGGCCACTAGGTAGCGGTGATCTCACCACGGCGCTTGCCAAGGCCACGTGAATTGTCGAAGGCTCGCTGACAGGAGGACACGGGACAGACACAGGTGCTATGGGTTGACTGACTGAGACGACTGGCAGATGCACCACCTGTGCCCCCTGCTGTGTCAACTTGCTATATTTTAGCCGCCCGGCGCTCAACTCGTTGTTGTGAACGTCACTCCTCTGCCCTCAGTTGTTGGAGGGCCAATGCCTCCAACTGCCCAGTAGCATACTTCACGAGCCTCCTCCATAGATGCCAATCTTGACATCGCTGATATCAGTCATCGGCAAGTCCGCTCAGCTCTATATGCTCCTGTACCACATCAGTCCATCTTTTCTTTAGCCTGTGCCGTGCCCATATAGCCCCCTCTATCTTGCCAAACAAAAGCTGCTTGGGTATGCGGTGGCTGGGCATGCGGGCTACATGCCACAGCTAACGTAGCCTTGCATGCCGGAGTAGCTCACTGTTGGAATTGTGTTCAGATCTTTCAAGGATTTGTGAACTCCTCACACAATCCCTCCTGGTTAAACTCAGAACAGATCGTAGGCAGGCTTGCCTGAATATAACCGGCTTAGATGTTTCATTCGCAAGCATAGAGAAGGGAGGGCATATCTTTGGCCGAGAATACCCGAAGCTTCGCGTGGAGAGACAGGCCAAGTAGCTTCCACACAGCGTTGCGTAGCTAATGAAAAGATAATGCCGCCCGCCTGATTTGGAGTGAGACTTCTGCTGCCAAACCAAAGCTGGGCATGAGCAAACTGCCGAGGTATGGAAACCTCTCTACTCTCTCCAGAACTGCCCCATCGCTCATAGGGAGTTGAGGGGTGGAGTCTTTGCTGACAAAATTGCCAGGCAAGTGCTTTGTTTTTATGGGGCAAATGGTAAGACCCCACCTCTAAGTAGCCTACGTACCAGGTTCAGCAGCAGAACCACCAACTTCTTCTCTGAGTTGGACAATAACTGCACCCGGGCATCGATCAGCCTCCCATTGTATCTGTACCAGATGCAAATTCCTCCGGTAGAGCCATTGAAAGCGTCTCGAACTACGTGGTCGAAAAATATGTAAAATAGTGTAGGGGTCAGAGGACATCCCTGTCGCATCCCAGTGTGAACATAATATGACTCTGACACCCGGCCACGCAGCTTTACCCGGGCCTGTCCACCATCATGAAGGTCCTTAATGACTGTCCCAGGGTCTGGGACTCCGTAAGTACGAAGAACAACCCACAGCCCTGGCCCTGGACACGCAAAGACAAAGTTCCCGCCTATAGCCTTAAGACACTCTTGGGTCAAGTGCTGTTAGCAAGCACCAATGAAGGCCGGAATGGTACATGAGGGGGTGGGTGGCCAGCACCACGCCTGGCCGTCATCCACATAGCCCGGCACACATCCCCGCAGTGAGTGTCCAGTGCGGGAGCGAGGATGGGGAGGAGGATTGGGGGGGGGGGTGAGGGGGTGCAGAGGAGGGGAAAATGAGAAGGGGAGGAGGATGGTAAGAGGAGTAAGAATGGGAGGAGGAGGAGGAGGGACACCCACGTTCGCGGCTCCACTGCCAGGATAACCGCGTTCTCTGAGGCCTTGGTGGCACGGATGCAGCTAGAGGAGAGACACGGGGAAACATACGGGGAGTGACATGGGAAGAGACACGGGGGACACACGGGGAGACTCACAGGGATAGGGGAGAGAGATGGGAAGAGAGGGAGAGAGACAAACTAACATCTCATCACCTTCGCACACTTCCCATGAGCTGATTTCAAACAGTTCAGCCACATGACCATTAACATTTACACCTCCTCACCCACCCTCCTGTAAACCACCTCCCCACCCACCCCTTCTCTAAACCACCTCCTCAACTATCCACTCAGAATCGTACCATAACTGATAATTGTATTGGTTTCAACCTCCCCGTGGCACCCATACCCCGTTTCCCCTTAACCCCCCCCCCCCACCACGTATCCCCACATTCTCCCACACGTCTCCCTGTGTCTCCATGTCCCCGTGCCTCCAAATTCCCCCGTAGCTCCCCCCCCCCCCCCCACTCGGAGTGTCCCACTCCGTACTTTCCCGCCCCATCGCCGCCAGGGCCCTCACCGGCAGAGCGCCTCGGCGTCGAAGTGTCGCGGCTGTCGGTGGTCGATGAGGATGAGCTCGTGGTGTTTGTCGAGGAAGCACTCGAGCGCTGATTCGGGCGTGCGCGCCACGTTGCAGCGGTAGCCGGCGCGGTCGCACGCCCGCCACAGCCCGTGGCTCTGTGCGTCCTCGCGCGCAAACACCAACAGCACCTGGGCCACGTGTGCGATATTAGACACACAAAGACAGCGGTCTTCTTGCGTATGGTTAAGAAGATAAATGCCAATGTCGAGGTTTACTGGTCACGACTAGCGGCTTTCAGCAGAGAGAGTTCGTGTCGATTTGGTATTCCTCCTCCGTTGAAGGAACACAGACCACAGTGGGTTTACTGTGCGGCCCATAGTTTGGGTTGCATGGCCACATTGCACGGCTGTGGCTGTCCCTTAAATTTTTCATTTATGAAGGAGATTTTCAAATCGGCCTGTTGATGTTCTAATGTGGTTGATGGTTCCACCAGTGATTGAGGAGGAATGTCAAACCAGGAGGTGCGTTGATGTTTGGGTCTCGGATGAAGTGTTTATTCTGGACGTCCACATTTTTCTACTCCATTAGCCAGCAGCGTTTTTCCGGATCTGGGTGAGACTCCAGAACGACGCGATTCCCCGCATAGCCTTCACATAGTGTTGGTCGTGAGCGGGAATCAAACTCGGGTAGCCGGGTTCATAGCACAGCGCTTTAATCGCTGCGCTACCAGTGTACTACGCTACCACTCGCCACAGGTGTGCTATATCACACATGCATGTGCACACACAAGAACCACCGGACGTATGGCGAGTGTAAGGAGGCTGTAGTGCTGCAAAAGAGGCGCGAAAGTGGCGGCACCTGAATCGTGTCCTGAGCCAATCGCATGGGGCCGAATCGCACCTCCTCCGCTGCAGCCTGCATACACACACAGTCAAACATGGTCACAGACGGACAGTCACACACACCTACAGCAGACACCCAGCACTCACAGAGACACCCAGCACTCACAGAGACACCCAGCAGTCACAGAGGCACCCAGCACTTACAGAGACACCCAGCACTCACAGAGACACACAGCACTCACAGAGATACCCAACACTCACAGAGACACACAACACTCACAGAGACACACAGCACTAACAGGCACCCAGCACTCACAGAGACACAGAGCACTCAGAGAGACACCCAGCACTCACAGAGACACCCAGCACTCACAGAGACACACAGCACTCACAGAGACACCCAGCACTCACAGAGGCAAACATCACTTACAGAGACACCCAGCACTCACAGAGACAAACAGCACTCACAGAGACACCCAGCACTCACAGAGACACACAGCACTCACAGAGGCAAACAGCACACACAGAGACACCCAGCACTCACAGAGACACCCAGCACTCACAGAGACACACAGCACTCACAGAAGCACCCAGCACTCAAAGAGACACCCAGCACTCACACAGACACACAGCAATCACAGAGACACCCAGCACTCACAGAGACACACAGCACTCACAGAAGCACCCAGCACTCAAAGAGACACCCAGCACTCACACAGACAAACAGCACTCACAGAGACACCCAGCACTCACAGAGACACACAACACTCACAGAGGCACACAGCACTCACAGAGACACCCATCACTCACAGAGACACACAGCATTCACAGAGACACCCAGCACTCACAGAGACCCACAGCACTCACAGAGGCTAACAGCACTCACAGAGACACCCAGCACTCACAGAGAAAAACAGCACGCACAGAGACATCCAGCACTCACAGAGGCATCCAGCAATCATAGAGACACCTAGCACTCACAGAGACACCCAGCACTCACAGAGGCATACATCAATCACAGAGACACCCAGCACTCACAGAGACACACAGCACTCACAGATACACACAGCACTCACAGAGGTAAACAGCACTCACAGAGACACACAGCACTCACAGAGACACAGCACTCACATACACACCCAGCACTCACAGAGACACCCAGCACTCAAAGAGACACACAGCAATCACAGAGACACCAGGCACTCACAGAGACACCCAGCACTCACAGAGACACAGCAATCACAGAGACACCAGGCACTCACAGAGACAAACAGCACTGAGAGAGACGCCCAGCACTAACAGAGACACACAGCACTCACAGAGACACCCAGCACTTAAAGAGACACCCAGCACTCACAGAGACACACAGCACTCAAAGAGACACCCAGCACTCACACAGACAAACAGCACTCACAGAGACACCCAGCACTCACAGAGACACACAGCACTCACAGAGGCACACAGCACTCACAGAGACACCCATCACTCACAGAGACACACAGCATTCACAGAGACACCCAGCACTCACAGAGACCCACAGCACTCACAGAGGCTAACAGCACTCACAGAGACACCCAGCACTCACAGAGAAAAACAGCACGCACAGAGACATCCAGCACTCACAGAGGCATCCAGCAATCATAGAGACACCCAGCACTCACAGAGACACCCAGCACTCACAGAGGCATACATCAATCACAGACACACCCAGCACTCACAGAGACAAACAGCACTCACAGAGACACCCAGCACTCACAGAGACACACAGCACTCACAGAGGCACACAGCACTCACAGAGACACACAGCACTCACAGAGACACCCAGCACTCACAGAGACACACAGCACTCACAGAGACACACAGCACTCTTAGAGACACCCAGCACTCACAGAGACACACAATATACAGAGACACCCAGCACTCACAGAGACACACAGCACTCACAGAGACACCCAGCACTCACAGAGACCCACAGCACTCACAGAGGCTAACAGCACTCACAGAGACACCCAGCACTCACAGAGAAAAACAGCACGCACAGAGACATCCAGCACTCACAGAGGCATCCAGCAATCATAGAGACACCCAGCACTCACAGAGACACCCAGCACTCACAGAGACACACAGCATTCACAGAGACACCCAGCACTCACAGAGACCCACAGCACTCACAGAGGCTAACAGCACTCACAGAGACACCCAGCACTCACAGAGAAAAACAGCACGCACAGAGACATCCAGCACTCACAGAGGCATCCAGCAATCATAGAGACACCCAGCACTCACAGAGACACCCAGCACTCACAGAGGCATACATCAATCACAGAGACACCCAGCACTCACAGAGACAAACAGCACTCACAGAGACACCCAGCACTCACAGAGACACACAGCACTCACAGAGGCACACAGCACTCACAGAGACACACAGCACTCACAGAGACACCCAGCACTCACAGAGACACACAGCACTCACAGAGACACACAGCACTCTTAGAGACACCCAGCACTCACAGAGACACACAATATACAGAGACACCCAGCACTCACAGAGACACACAGCACTCACAGAGACACCCAGCACTCACAGAGACACACAGCACTCACAGAGACACAGCACTCACGTACACACCCAGCACTCACAGAGACACCCAGCACTCACAGAGACACACAGCAATCACAGAGACACCCAGCACTCACGGAGATACCCAGCAATCACAGAGACACCCAGCACTCACAGAGGCACACAGCACTCACAGAGACACACAGCACTCACAGAGATACCCAGCACTCACAGAGACACACAGCACTCACAGAGACACCCAGCACTCACAGAGACACACAGCAATAACAAAGACACCAGGCATTCACAGAGACACCTAGCACTCACAGAGGTACACAGCACTCACAGAGACACACAACACTCACAGAGACACCCAGCACTCACAGATACACACAGCATTCACAGAGACACCCAGCACTCACAGAGACACCCAGCACTCACAGAGGCATCCAGCACTCACAGAGACACCCAGCACTCACAGAGACACACAGCACTCACAGAGACACCCAGCACTCACAGAGGCACACATCACTCACAGAGACACACAGCACTCACAGAGGCAAACAGCACTCACAGAGACACCCAGCTCTCACAGAGACACACAGCACTCACAGAGGCAAACAGCACTCACAGAGACACCCAGCACTCACAGAGACACACAGCACTTATAGAGGCACCAAGCACTCATAGAGACACACAGGACTCACAGAGACACACAGCACTCACAGAGACACAGCACTCACATACACACCCAGCACTCACAGAGACACCCAGCACTCACAGAGACACCCAGCACTCACAGAGACACACAGCACTCACAGAGACACCCAGCACTCACAGAGGTAAACAGCACTCACAGAGACACCCAGCTCTCACAGAGACACACAGCACTCACAGAGGCACCAAGCACTCATAGAGACACACAGGACTCACAGAGACACACAGCACTCACAGAGACACCCAGCACTCACAGAGACACAGCACTCACATACACACCCAGCACTCACAGAGACACCCAGCACTCACAGAGACACCCAGCACTCACAGAGACACACAGCACTCACAGAGACACCCAGCACTCACAGAGGCACACAGCACTCAGAGAGACACCCAGCACTCACAGATACACACAGCATTCACAGAGACACCCAGCACTCACAGAGACACCCAGCACTCACAGAGACACTTAGCACTCACAGAGGCAAACAGCACTCAAAGAGACACACAGTACTCACAGAGACACCCATAACTCACAGAGACACAGCACTCACATACACACCCAGCACTCACATACACACACAGCACTCACAGAGACACCCAGCACTCACAGAGACACCCAGAACTCACAGAGACACAGCACTCACATACACACCCAGCACTCACATACACACACAGCACTCACAGAGACACCCAGCACTCACAGACACACGCAGTACTCATAGAGACACACAGCACTCACAGAGACACACAGCACCACAGAGGCATCCAGAACTCACAGAGGCACACAGCACTCACACAGACACCCAGCACTCACAGAGACACACAGCACTCACAGAGACACCCAGCGATCACAGAGACACACAGCACTCACAGAGACACCCAGCACTCACAGAGACACCCATGACTCACACAGACACACAGCATTTACAGAGACACCCAGCACTCACAGAGACACACAGCACTCACAGAGACATCCAGCACTCACAGAGACACACAGCACTCACAGAGACACCCAGCACTCACAGAGACACACAGCACTCACAGAGGCAAACAGCACTCACAGAGACACCCAGCACTCACAGAGACACTTAGCACTCACAGAGGCAAACAGCACTCACAGAGACACACAGCACTCACAGAGACACCCAGCACTCACAGAGACACACAGCACCACGGAGACACACAGCACTCACATACACACACAGCACCACAGAGACACCCAGCACTCACAGACACACACAGTACTCATAGAGACACCCAGCACTAACAGACACCCAGCACTCACAGAGACACGCAGCACTCACAGAGACACCCAGCACTCACAGAGACACGCAGCACTCACAGAGACACCCAGCACTCACAGAGGCACACAGCACTCACAGAGACACGCAGCACTCACAGAGACACACAGCACTCACAAAGACACACAGCAATCACAGAGACACCAGGCACTCACAGAGACACCCAGCACTCACAGAGACACACAGCAATCACAGAGACACAGCACTCACAGAGACACACAGCACTCACAGAGACACGCAGCACTCACAGAGACACACAGCACTCACAGAGACACACAGCAATCACAGAGACACCAGGCACTCACAGAGACACCCAGCACTCACAGAGACACACAGTACTCACAGAGACACCCAGCATTCACAGAGACAAACAGCACTCACAGAGACACCCAGCACTTACAGAGGCATCCAGCACTCACAGAGAAACCTAGCACTCACAGAGACACACAGCACTCACAGAGACACCCAGCACTCACAGAGACAACAGCA